CGACACTTTTTTCGATTTCTCGTAACAAGGGGTTTATCAAGATTTCAAAGAATGCTAACGGAGAATCACAGGTATCAGGCTAAGCTGAAGACGGCGCCGTTGCTTACCCAGAGTGTGACTACAGCGGTAGGTGTTTTTCTTGTTTCTTTCAGTCGTCCTGGAATCTACTCTTCTGTTCTGGTGGACCTTGGGATGCAAAGTCTCGAGCTGAATAGACGGAGGAACAGGGAGATACAACCCCCAGATCAACGCGCACAAGTATAAAAGCGACAGGAGATATAGCGGCGAGGAAGTCAGCAGGCTAACAAACGCATTGCAGGTCCTCTTCGCAACCGGCGACACGCTCGCCCAACAAGCCGTTGAAAAACGCGGCTTTGAAAAACATGATCCCATGCGCACAGCCCGCATGGCTGCATACGGAGGCGGTACGTATTTTCACTCCCTCCACCTCTCTCCCGTTTCCTTTCACTCCCTCTCACCCCCTACCCTCGAGCCACATCTAACCCCCCCCCCCCCCTCCCCAGCCATCTTCGGCCCCGCCGCCACAAAATGGTACGCCCTCCTAACCCGACACATCAACATCCCCGCCTCGCCCACACGCACCCTCTGCGCCCGCGTCGCAGCCGACCAAGTCGTCTTCGCCCCACTTAACATGACGCTCTTCCTCTCCTCCATGGCCTACCTCGAAGGCGCCAGCGTGCGCCAGCGCCTCGCCGACGCCTTTTTGCCCGGCTACCAGAAGAACCTGATGCTCTGGCCGTGGGTGCAGTTTGCAAACTTCAAGTACGTGCCCATGGAGTTTCGCGTGCTTGTTGTCAATTTTGTCAGTCTGGGCTGGAATTGCTACCTCAGTGCGCTGAATTCGGGGGGTGGGGGGGAGGGGGGCGAGTTGCCGCCTTCGTAGGGGAAGGGGTGTTGTTTGGTGGGTTTGCGGGTGCGATGGTTGGTTTGGCAGAGTGCTGAAGAGATTGGAAATTTTCTTGGGAAGGGAGAAAGGTAGATTCGGACATGTACTACATGCTACATCGTCTCTACACAGCAAAAGGAAAAAGTCACAGTTGACGATTACAATCACAATCTTTGTACTTGTACTTTTCCCAAAGTCTCCTATGTATTCCCCCTTGCTTCCTTACCGCAAGGGTGGAAAAGAATAGGTCCTGAATTTCTCTGCTCTGCTTTTGTCCTCTCTGCTCTTCTCATCTCCGCTTTATGCATGCTTGTACTTGTACTTATACGACACGTAGCCCGAATGTAGCCACTGTAGGTCGTAGCAGAGGCGTAGGAAATAGGATTAGACATTATGGAATGAAGATTTCTAGATTTTGGTCCAGGGCTTGGATGTTGGGATTTTAGATGGTGACTTGGACTCTAACTTGACTTACCCTTGCCTTTCCTCACCTTGTCCTAAGTTCTCACCATAGATATCAAATATCACAGATCACAGATCACCCATCACTCCAACCAACCAACCAACCAAAAAAAACCCCCCCTTCTCTCAGAAGAAAAAAATGAATCCGTATTTCCGCGAGAGATCTGACTACACCCATCTACACCCACCCACTCCCACTACCAACGTCAACACACACACCTAGACAAACACCTAGACTTGGCTCCACACTCCCGTTACCTTCCTCCTTTGAGCAAAGTCAAAATGGGATAATGCAAAGACGATGCAACAAGACACGACAAGACGATGCAAACAGGCTACGACAGAATGCAACAAGACACGACACGACGAGACGAGACGCAACAGAATGCAACAAGACAACACAACACAAGACGCACAATACAATACAATACAAGCCCGCCACCCTCTACTCGGCACACCCACACCCATCCACCCCTAATGAAAAAAAATTACACCCATCATCCTCTCCCTGCCACCTGCAACCCCCTCAACTTCCCCCCTCATCAAACACCTAATCTCACCTCCCCGCCTCACGACTCCTCCCCATCCGCCTAAAGAAATCCATAACCTTCTTTGAACTCCCACTACTCCCCGCCTTGCCCCCATGTCCACGCTCCTCATACTCGTCCGTAAACTTGCGGCTCTTCTGCAGCACCCCCTTGCGACTCTGATGCGCGCCAAACTCGTCGCCGCCGTTGCTGCCGCTGACGCTGATGCTGCCGCCACCGCCCATGCCCTGTGGATATGGGTTGTTACGGGTGGCAGTTGCGCTGGCGCTGTTGCCGTGTTGCATCGTCTGTTGCTGCTGGGGCTGTGATGTTGGAGCGGCAAAGTCGTCCGAGTCGTCGGTTGGGTGGCGGTAGGGTCGGTTTGCGCTGGGGTGAGGATCGCGGGGATTGGGGAATTTCTCGTCCGCAATCGGTTCCTCGAACCGGGTTTGGTTCGGCGGTGCAGAGCTGGGGCCGGCCATGGGTGCACTCGTCACCGCATTGCGCACTCGGCTGCTGCTTTCGTGCTGTCCGTCGTAGAAGCCTGGCATGTTGCTGCCCGTGGTGCTCTGACTAGGAGACCTCGAGGCTTGTCCACGGCCAAAGGCCATGCCCGGCCGGGAGCTGGCACGCGGTCGTGCCACACTGGAACCCCGGCGTTCGTGCGAGCCTTGGGCGGGCATGCTTTCGCGCTGCGACGAAAATGTCTTGGAGAGGGATGAGGGGAGGAGAGAGAAGCGACGAGAGGACTTGCCGCTCGGTTCGCCCGAGCTTCCCCCATTATTGTTCTTTCGGGAGAAGCCAAACGAGGTGCGGCGGCTCGAGTCCATGCTTTGTCGTGGATACGCGACCGAGTCGTTGGACATGGGTCCGGTCATCGACGTTGGCGGATAGCGCTTCTCCCTCTTCTCCTCCGGGTAGTTGGAGAAGGAGTTTTGGGAAGCAAAAGAGTCTTTTGAAGCTTGCGCGTACGACTGCTGTCGACCAGAGAACATGGACGTCACGCGTCCAAGAGTCTCGGTCACAGTATTCGACCGCTTGTGGCCCTTTGCATTCGGAGCAGCGCCCGACGGACCCAACTGAATCGAGTGGACTCGCTGCGTGCTCGGCTGTCCAATGCTCGACTCGCCTGCAACGGTCGTCTCTGGCGGAAATGGTGGTGAAATGTGGTACTGCTTGCTTTTGGGTTGCGAAAATCGCCCTTCAGCGTTCGTCTGAGCTACAGTCGCAACCGATGGCTGTCCATACGAGTTCCCTCTTGAGGGGAGTCGCGCGGTTCCGAGTGCCCCTCCGGTCGACGGACGCGTAGCCGAGACAGGAGGCTGGCCAAAGTTGTTGTATTCCGAAGTCGATCGCTGGGGTTCGCGTGTAGTGCGCGGTTGAGCAGGTGCTGTGGACGCCGCCGCGCGACCCTGACTGCTCGGAGGAGCTTGAAAGCCATCCGTCGTGGGAACATCCGCCTCCTTGCCACGCACTCTCGGTGTCGTCTCAGCAGGCGGCGATGCCTCTCCCCGTGTAGTCTGAGATTGCGGTGCGACGTATTCCACCTGCACAGTTCGGCGCTTATTGTCCCGCGTTGTCTTGGGCTTTTCCGAAGGCGGCGAGTTGATCTGTTCGCGCTTGGCGGTAAGACCGCCGTGTGCAGGTACGGGCGCGGTGTGTTGCTTCCCAGGTTCTCGTACGGAAGCGCTTCGAGCGAGGGCTGGCTGTTGTTCGAATGTATCTTCTATATGCTATTAACGCGTGCGCAATCCGCTCAGTTACACAAGACGTACTAGAATATACAGAGCTCTGCTGGGCTTCCGCAGCATTCGTGTTGCTCGACGTGATGAATCCGACGACATGCGAGTAATCTGCCAGCCAGCTGTGACGGGCGACCTCGAAGAGATCCGCTCGTTTGCGTGGGTCGGGGACCAATATCCGCTTCAGCAGGTCTCTGGCGTGTGGTGTAACATATTCCGGGAATGTCAATGGCGTAGATACAATGTATTTATACAAGAGATTGATGTTATCACCCTCAGGATTCGCCGGATCGTCATCAAAGGGAAGGTATCCAGCCAACATGGCGTACTGCAAAAGTGATTAGGTTAGTTTCCAAGACCCCAATTACCCACAAACTACGACTTACCAAAATGACACCACAACTCCACACATCCACCTTACGGCCTGTGTACAACGAGTCGCTGACAACCAGCTCGGGCGCAGCATAACAAGGACTGCCACAGCTAGTCTGCATGAGATCGCCCCGACGGGCAGCATCGCTTCCTTCTAGTCCAAGAGATCTAATGTACTCCTTGTCGCCTAGTCTGTATTCGATTTCTTCGCCGAGCTCGTCATTCGGGTCAAAGGTGTTGGCAAAGCCAAAATCTGTGATGATGATGTTCTTATTACGGTCCAGCAGCAGATTCTCCAGCTTCAAATCGCGATGCACAATGCCCTTTTTGTGCAAATAGCCGACCCCGGATATGAGCTGGGAAAACAGCTTGCGTGCGGGGCCGTCTTTGAGATAGCGATGGTTGAGGATGTAGTCGAACAGTTCTCCGCCCGATGCATACTCGAGAATGATGCCAATATGTCGCTCCGTCTCGACCATCTCGTGTAGGCGAACGATATTGGGGTGGTCTAGTCCTCGCAGAATGTGGATCTCGCGGTAAATCTTTGCCAGTCGATTCGAGTTGCTGCCCAGCGTTTCTCTTCTTATGAGCTTGATGGCAACCTCTACGCTGCTGTCTCGTTTCCAGCCCATCTTCACCTTGCCGAATTCGCCCTCACCAAGCGTTTGACCGAGAATGTAGTTACCAAACTTGGATCGCTTCGTCGAGCCCTCCGATTTGGAATGATCTTGTCTGCTCTTGCCTCCTCCACCTCCACCCCCTCCTCCTCCGCGGCCACCATCGTCGACGCCCTCACTGCCCACGAGACCGAGGCCGGTGATGGGAGTGAGATCCACGCCAGACGCGGGGATGCCTTCTGCTTGCCGAGCTTGCGCGCGAGCAATATCTTCTTGTGGGTCTGTCACCACCATGCGGTTGATGACGGTGCTCTCTTCACGGGGAAGACTGGTTCCGGTGGGTGGCTGCCCAATAGCCGTGGCTGACCGGCTGTGAGCTGGCTGTGCTCTGCTCGAAGCAGCTTGCTGCGTGCCTCTCCGACGAGTCTGGCCTGCATTGGCAGCTTCGTCGCGTGAAGAGGCCGGTTGGTTTGCCGAAGAAGACTGTGAGCGGTGCGAGGACGACCTGGGCGGAGGCATGGGGCCACTGCCCATGGACGTCGAGGCCGAGGTGGTGTTGTTGTTCATGGCAGGCGAAGTGTGCGTCGAAGCGGGGAGCGGCTGCGCGCGCGGCGTGGTCAGATTGGCGTTGTGCTGGGAGGCGGCAGACGATTGGTGCGTCTGTGGGGTAGTGGGCGTGTTGGGGGACGCGCCATGGCTAGGCCGTCGCGAGGTCGGGCGGCGGGCAGTGGTTGGTGTTGACACGGCGACGGGCGAAGGTTGCGAGTAGTACTGCTGTTGCTGCTGTTGTTGCTGTTGGCCATGAGGCGGTTGTGAGGCTACGGCGGCCATGTCCTGCAGTCGCGGGCGGGCGGTGATGAGGGAGGACGGCTCGTCGCGCGGGCAGCGGCGCGACAAAGGGCTCCTGTTCGCTGCGCTGGCACTGTTTGTCGGTGTATGGAGAAATGGCGGTGGAGCGCTCGAACGGGCGAGGGCGGGGACTGCGCTGGTCTAGTTCCCGCCGTGTGCAGCCTACCGTGGGCGCGAGCAAATCGGAAAGCTGCAGTGGTGCAGTGACGGCCTCGACGCAGAGCAATTGGGCCGGCTGCTGTGCTGTCCGATGCGCGGGCAGACTCGAAGATGCAGAGGCCGTTGCAGTCGCGCTACTGGCGACTCTGTAGGTGGTGGTCGTCTAGCTGGCAGTTTTTGTTCTGCGCGTGCGACTCCTGCCTGTGTTGATGCTGGGGCGTTTTGTTTTTTGTTGGCCTGGCAGCGGCTATACATGCGACTGCAGCTGCGACGACTATTAGATATGGTATGTTCTGTTTGCGTGTGTGTGTGTGTGTGTGTGTGTGTGTGTGTGGGCGTAGGTATGTATGTGAATGTGGATGTGGATGTGAATGTGGATGAGTAGTATGAGTATATGTATGTGAAGGCAAGTGTGTGCCTGCTGTATGGTGGTGTGGGTTGGTGTTGTGTGGGCTGCGAGGGTCGAAGCATGTGTTTACAACAGATGGGGACGACTGCGCTGCGCTGCTGCGTGCTGCGAATGCACCCGGCACCAGTGGAGTCGAGTGTCTCTTTGTCTGGCGTTGGATAGGCGCGGTGCGGTGCAGCCTCAGGCTCTGCAGAAAGCAGATGTTGCTGGTGCGGATGCTGGTGCAGATGCTCAAGCGGTACTGGTGCTCTCTGCTGGGTGACTGACTAGACGAGACTAGCCGGGGCTGGGAGAGGGGGCGGGTGACAGGAGCAAGCAAGGCCGGCTATCTAACGGTCGCCGCCGTAGGCACTCTAGAGTTAGAGTACAAGCGATCGAGAGAGAGCTTGACGGACGTGTGAGAAGAGAGAACTGGCCAGACACACAGACAAGATACACACACATACACCACACATGTGCACACATACACGCACACGCACACACACACTCTCTCTATCTCGAGGACACACCAGCGACCCGACGTTTGACGTTTGTGTGTGTGTGTGTGTGTGTTTGTGTGTAGAATGAGGCAGAAGGCGCGGCTCAGCCAACACAAGATGGTTCTGGCTAATCTCGCCAAAAAGCATGTGTGTTGCTTGTCAAGGAGGCGGATGGATTGGCGTGTGGGATGGATGGATGTATGGATAGATGGCCATGGCTGATGGCATGCACATGATTGATCCATGATTGAACAATGGCTCGGCATAACACCAACCCGCCCAAAGACCAGCTCTACCGTACCTGGCGCCAGGCACCGTCAAATTACACCACGCCTTGCCTGCCTGCCTGTCTACATCCATCTCTCTCTCTCTCTCTCGCCTCTCTCCCACTCTCTACTCTCTCCATCTATCTCAGGGTGTATGTGTGTGTGTGTGTGTGTGTGTGTGTGCCAGCGCGAGCTGCGACGCGGACAGTGTGCTTGGACCTCGACAGGACTGGCTGCTAGCTGCCCCCTTAAAGCTCCATGTCTGCTAGCAAGCGCGACTCGACGGACGCGCCTGCTCGTGGGCGGCTGTTGCTGCAACACTGAAGCATACACACCGTCTACCTACCTAGCTACCGACCTGTCTACCTCTCTCATCATACATAGTCATCCCTACCTACTGTCTACCTAGTGTTTTAACACCACTGACCAGCCGCTCGACTCGACTCCTTTTTTGGGGGGGGGGAAGGGGGGAGGGTGCGACTGGGATGTCGTCAATGTTTCAAACAGCATGCAACCTGGTACGCGCAGATTGCGACATTATGCGCGTCCACGCTCGACCTGCATAGGGAATTTCGCCCTTTCAAAGTACATAGGTACACAGTACAGCACAATCAAATACTACCTCGGCACTGCAACTGCTGCTGCAATGTGTCTGGCACGAGGCAGATGAACAGAAAAACAGCCCATTCCACAGCTATATACGAGGCCTCTTAGGACCGAGAAAGACGTGCACAAGGCCACATGGGCCATGACCTCCCAACCTGGACCAGCCACACGTTCTGCCATGGTCCCCCCTCTGCAATCTCCACGCGAGGCGCCTGGGCAGGTACACAGCGACAGTGCTCAACCCCATCAACACACACACCACTAGCTATACCTAACTGCCAACACCACATACACACACACACACATCAATTCCGCCGCAACCTCGACCTGCTGCTGCCCTTACTGATTTGCTCGCCAACGCCAGATCACAGCTACCACACCTCGGCCCTACCGCAACCTTTGCCACTCTCTGCATGCATGTATGTCCTGTGTATGTACCTACCAACTAACCCACCCACCCACCCGCGCAAGGAGTATCCCCATACACACTTCGCCGCCGACCTTTTCCCATCCCTCACTGTCTCAGACTACTCTCAGCCCTCGGCGGCGCACACCACTCTTTACTCGGACACTACCTGTCTGAATTCTGTCCATCGGCCAGTCAGTCCGTGAGTTCTTTGCGATGCTCATCTTGCTTCTCGCTGCAAGGGGAACATGCCCCTGCATATGTTTGTTGCTGCATCTGCGTAGGCAGTGCCCAGCCATGCATTCTTTCCCCCTTGTGGCCAAAGCTACCCAATCACCGCGTGCTTACTACACCAAACTATTGATACCTTACCACACTCCAACCCATCTCCAACCCACCACCACACGCGCCCTCAAAAGCCAACTCTTTCGCGCCATGCACACACACACACACACACCTACCATGTAGAGTACCTACCCATGCAAACACACCTTCCCCTTCCATCCCATTTCAGCCACACAAACCGCAATCCAGCCCAATCTGGGACATGCTCGGAGATTAAGAGCGGCCGCTTTGATCGCCCTTGCCGTGCGGTCGTGTAACATGACAGGTGGCAGGGGGTCTGCCTGGCTAGGTACACATGTATGTACAGTAGTATGTACATGTGTACCATGTGTGTAGGTGGCTTGGCATGTATGTGTGCACTGTGTAGGTAGAGTATGTACGGTGTGTACGGTGTGTACGGTGTGTACAGCTGTACACTGTATGTACATGCATAGGGGGAAAGGGCAAGGGCGCTGGCGGTTACTCCAAGGGGGGTGGGGGGCATGGCGGGGCGGGGCGTGGGGTTGAGGAACGACCTCTCCACGGCCACGGCCACGACCACGACCACAACCATCACCTCAGGTTTCATCGTGGCATGGAGGTGCCGACTGAACTGGACTGGACTGGACTGGGTTTAGGTTGAAAAGTACCCGTTCTGGGCTGCAAGTCACGCATATACGAGAGCTACGTCATGAGGTGGGGGTGGGTGCGGCAGTAAGCTTATTTACATTTTACATTGGGTTTTTGCTACTTCTACCGTCTACGTGAAGCCTCAAATAATCTGTCATGCACATGACAAGCAGGATTACATAGCTAGCAGTATCCACCCATGTACATGGACAAACCATGCCATCGCCTTTGCTCTTGCTCCTACTACTCTACATCTTCACCTCGTTGGGCAGACCAATGTCCAACACGTCCACGCCCTTTTGCAGCTCACTCTTGCTCGGCATCCGATTCCGCCTCATGAGCTCGATGCACTGTGCAACATAGGGATCCTTGCCCATGGACGCGACCGCAACCACCGTCTCCTCCTTGGTGTAGTAGGCCACAAACGCCGGGTCCTCTGTCCTGCCCTGGATCACCACGTCGTCGTACCCATTCATCGTGTTACCGCAGTACCGCAGTTGCGAACCGAGGGCGGACCAGAAGACAGGGATAAACGGCTTGGCTGGCGCTCCAGGTGCGTTGATCCTGTTGGCTACCGACCGTCCAGCGTTTTGTGCCACGTTCCAGTGTTCGATGCGAACGGGCGAGCCGTTGCCTCCGGGCCCGTGATAGGGATAGGTGGCGATGTCTCCAATGGCGTACACGTCCTGTAGTCCCTTGACGGCAAAGGATTCATCCACCTTCAATGATCCATCCTTCTCCAGCGTCACGCTCGAGTTGTCCTTGAGAAACTGCGTCGCTGGCTTCACGCCTACACCCTCAATCACGAGATCGGCCTCGATGCTGGTGCCGTCCTTGAGTTGGACGGCTCCGACCTTGGCCGGGTCACTCGACGACGCTGTTCCCTTTTCCACACTGGCACCCATCCTGAATTTGACACCATTCTTCTCCAACAGTCCACGGAAGACCTTGCCGACCTTCTTGCCCATGACACGCTCCATTGGTTCTGCACGGATCAGCTACGGTAGAAGATCAAGGGATCTGTCACTGTCTCACCTTCTTCCATTCCAATTATCGTCACGTCGTTCTTCATGCTCGCAAGGCAGTTCCCCACTTCCATACCGATGAAGGAGCTCCCAATGACGGCAATCTTCTTGCCATTGTCTCCAACAGCCTTGACAATGTTCTGTGTATCTGCCAAGGTACGCAACAAAAAAACGTTACCGAGGTCACCCTTCAACCCATCCAGTGGCAGCTGATTGGGAGTACCCCCAGTCGCCAGGATCAGTTTTGAGTAGTCATAAGTCTTTCCAGACTTGGTCAAAACCTTCTTCCCGGAAAAGTTGACGCTCTCGGCCTCATCCTCAATAATGTCGATCGAAGCGTCCTTGTAGTAGTCTTTTGATCTCCAGGCAGCCTTGGAGAGATCGGCCAGTAGAGCTTTCGACAGCTTGGTGCGGTCAATAGGCTGGTATCCTTCCTTTGAGATCACAGTAATCTGACCAGTGTAGCCTCCCCCTCGGAGACCTTCAATGGCACCGACTGTTCCCGAGCCGCCGCCTATTACAAGAACCTTGTCGTCGCTCACGGATGAACACTTGATATTCAATCTTCTTCGGTTGGCCTTGAGGGTGTCTTCGTCGGTCCTGATGTATACCCCACCATCCTTTTCAAATACTTCATACTTGGAGATTGGGTCAAGTGCAGGTGCGTCCTCAACATCTCCCGTCGAAACCTTGAAGCAGGCTACAACAATCAGCATTTGAAACTTGGGATGAACATGTAGTACATACCTCCGTGCCATGGACAGGTCAATCTTCCCTCAGGTGTAAGTATACCCTTGACCAATGGAGCACCATAATGCGTGCAATTGGACGAGGTAGCATGGACCTGGTCCTGTATTTTCAGAAGCAAGACTTTGCCTCCCTCTACACCCTCGACTTCGACCTCCTTCTTCTCGCCGTTTCTTAGATTCAAGCTTGTGAAGTCCTTGAGCTTGAATTCCTTCGCCATGTTTGCGGTTGTGCTGGTAAAAGCGGCCCTTTGGAGACTGTTTGTTGGAGTGAATGGCAGCTTAAATGACGTTCGCAGAGGTCGTAGAATCCGTAGCGACTGCATGAAGCGGTGTTATGGCCGAGTAGGAGGTATATGAGAGGTGAAACGACCTGCTTGGCGAATAGCGGGGTGCTTATTCGTATGTTGTGGTCAGCGCGTTGATTTGCTGGCATGTGATGACGACATGATTGATGCGCGTAGAAGGCACGCTTCCGCATTTATCGATAACGGGGACCACGGTCGTGACGTGTGTAACCCCCGCATTTTGATTGGGCAATCATCATCTGGCAGCATGGAAGATATCGTCTTGAAACTTGAACGCCTTTGATCATGTTCTTGTTACCTTCAGAATCAATGCAAAATATGAAACAATGGGTATGACAGACAAGCGCCAACAAGAGATTGGTGTCGTTTGATCCGCCGCAAACCATTCATCGAACGACGACCGACATCACACTTCAGTCGGAGGACCAATCCGCAGTACGGAATAAGTGCGCTTGACCGACATTCCTCTGGTGCGATTGAAAAACCTAGGCCTGTTTGGATACCATGGTCCGTGAGTCTAGTCAGAAACAGACTTGCAAGGCCTAATTTGAACAGACACCTCCTTTCCAGGCCATCCCATCCCAAAAGACCACAGAGCCTGTGCGCATTCAGCAGGGCTCAGATCCTCCTCACTTCGAGTTGCTCATCCTTCACAGAACTGACCATCGTATCATGCTATCCCGGTACTGGAGCGCCCACCGAGACCATCTCAGATGATTGGAACAGGATTCCAGGGGCGCGAGGCTACACGCCGCAAGCTTGTAGCTCTCGTGATGAGATGGCCAAATTGCACAGATTGGCAGTGCAGCACGGTCTTGGCTTATCAGAAGAACATACCCCTTACCAGAAAGACGCCAATACCGGATGTGCCTTCCGCCGGTCGAACTACTCTCAGATGAAAACCTCAAGTTCGCTACAGCACTGAGATTGCCCATCTTTGAGTGGCACTGCAAGATTTTGATCAGGCCGCTCGCACTTGCAATCGAGAATGCCAGAATCATCAAGGTTGGTACCTGTATTCCCGCCCAACAGAAATGCAAAAGAGGTCGTCGAGTGGCTGGCTCTCGTAATATAGTAACTCCCAGTACCAATCCGCTAATATGAAACGACAATGGTTGTCCCAATCCGGAAGTCTGTTATTCCATGACTCGGCATCTGCAATACTCCGCAGCTGTTGCATGTGGCCGCGATGGCATACGAAATTTTGAGATTCGCCAGATGCGTTGCTGCGAACTCTTTGCATTTCATGGCCAAATGCAGTGTCTCTTCTACTTTTTACACTCCTTCGCTCAATCAATGCCGTTGTAAACAATCTATCGTCTCTTGAGAAGGTTTCACGCGATGCGACGGTGGCTCACACACTAAGGATCGTCAAACAACCAACCGAGGGCGGGCTATCTGCACATCGTCAATAAACTTTGGGTACTTCTGTCGGAGCTACGACATATGAGCAACAGCCCTCGCCCTAGATGCGATGTTGTTTTGACAACATTGTCGGCTGATGGCCTCCGTCCACTGTGTTATGTCACCTTGTCCAACCAGTCTTTCGTTCATACCTTGACAAAATCATTACCCAACGTGTCTATTTGACGACCAACTCTTTCATTTCACCATCTGATTCTTCAGTCTACGCGACAGGGGTCGCCTTACCCCATGATCATCACTACCCTCAACTTATAATTCTTAATATTTACCACACTTATTACGACTCAAACACTACAACCATCTACTTCCAGTACGCAACAAGCACACACTACCATATCGACTTCTGTTCAACTTGACCACAACACTCTCGAATCTCCCCTTCCCTAGTGTAGAACCATCACCAACTGTATTCGACACAGTCGAGTTCTACGCCCACCGACACAGTTACCAAAAAAATTGCCAATTCAAGCGCCATAAGCATAACCACAGGTTCACCAGGAAGCTGCTCAACTTATGGTGATTGCGCAATGGAGAGGACCTGCTCAGAGGGACGGTATAAAAGAAATGAGGCGTCTCCCTTCGGCGGGCCAGACCCCGAACCAACGTCGAGTTTGAGTAGGTCGGCAGCCATTGGAGTTGGTGTTGGTATCATATCTCTGATTATGGTGTTGATTGGGATTACCTTTTGCGTCTGGAAAGTACGAGGTCAACGAAGGTCCAATGAATCTATCGAAGCCCCTCCTGTCAGCCATTTCAGATCACCATCTGACGCTACTGATCAGAAGACGTTGGTAGCCTCATTTCCAAATAGTCCACAGCATGCATATTTCCAGAACCAAGTCATGACCCCGGATTTGTTCGTGGAAGCTCTCGGAAACAATGAATCCAGAAGGGGGGAAGCAGAACATAATGGGCAAGGGACCACGAGCGGAAGCTATCGCATAGAAGACGTGACGGGCAAGGAACTCCCGACCCCTCCACCGACCGAAAGCCAACCGCCGCCTCAGCCTACCGAACCGGTGCGATATGCGATCAATGTCAGTATCAACAAGAGCATGATATTTGACGATGAGATGGTCAGAGCTGTGAGTCCACTGCGTGAGCCTGCAGCACCACGGGGGCGTGCACCAAAGTACATTTTTAAGGAATACCTGCCGCCTGTACACAATTCTCCTCCAACTTCCGTCCAGCCAGTTTTGAACAAGCGGGGGTCAGACCATGAGCTGGACCGCTATCCATCGAAAGATATTTCAATTCACACCTCTACAACAGAGGACAATAGCTCTGAGAATGAGCTTGGGAGTCCTGTAGATACAATTCTTTCGAAACTAGAAAGCGCTCCTCCACAGCTTCCGTTACCCGATCTGCCACCTCCAAGCCCGAGCTTCAGTTTCTGTTCCTACGATTGGTATCAAGACATCATAGACAATCGCACAAGCACACATACACCCACCCAAGCGACTTTCTCGCGCCCATTCTCTTCCTCTCCCAACTCCCGAAGCAGTTCAGCCAGAGTCCCCGAACCACTCCTTCTCAGCGCGAATCCTCCGCCATCAGCATCACTCTTGCATCCAGACTCGGCGGCGTTGCAGAGCCCGTCAAGTCCACACTTTCGCTTATCTCCAACGGTGTACAAGCCATCGCAGCCATTGCAGCCTCCCGCTGTGCCACCAACACCACCCCCAGTATCAACGCGCACATCTGGCCTAAGCACCATGACGCGCACCACGCATAATTCGCGTAGCTGGTTGCCTGACGATGGTCTTTACCTTGCTGAAGAAGGGACGAATTCGTACATGGCATTTAGCAGACCAAACGACGAGTGTCTACCCACGAGCTATTCGCCCTTGACATGAATGACCTTGGTTGGATTATCCCTGGGCGATTCAGCAGACTCTCCGGCTGGCTACCTGGCTCCGGCAAGGACAGAAAGTCTGCGGTCCAAGTGATGTGTAAATAAGCTTTCGGTGGAATGAAATCCCTTTGTATTGCATGCGGCACAGCAAGCACACCAGCAAGCCTAGAGGCAGAAACAAAGCCCATTGATGCAGGCTCCCGCACCAATTTTACAGATGGGCCAATATTGCTCCACAGAAACGTGGAAACATGGCCGATTGTAAAACCAGAAACTATATAATAACCTTACTTTATACTAGTCACGTATCTATACACTACATTTGCATCGCCATGAAATGAGCAGTCGACAGCCAAATCTTCCAATTCGCGAGTTTGTGAAGGGGAAATCCATCGGTAGTGGAATGAATAGATTTCATGTATGTATAGGCACAGAATTCAGGGTTATATAGTTACAATGTGAAGATTTTAGTCAGGGTCATCTTGAATCCATGGGATATGGTGTCTTGGCGGCCTGGGGAGAAGGAAACTGTGCATGTGGGTGGGTGCAGTGTAAGGAGGAGGTTGTGGATGCAAGAAAGCAAAGTGGGTTGGAAGTAGACGAGGGCTGTGTTGATGGTGCTGGGTTTGAGGGTTTCATGTGCGAGCGAGCGGTACCTAGCATATAAATTGTGTAGGTACGGTAGTGGTGGCTTGACTCTTAGTTTGTAGACTAGAGTATCAACGTTGAAAGTGTAGTCACACATATGCGAGTTTATAAAATAATATCCTTACGCGAACATGTCAGTTGCAGGTACGTGACAGCGATGTCGTCTTACTGTGACCTGTCTTCCAGGTTTCTTCATCTTGGTAACATGCACGCGCCTATGACGTCATACAGTGCAACATCACCCGTTCAGTTTGCCCTTCCTACCCGGTCTAAATTCAATGTGCTTCTGCTTGGATATGGTATCTCGGAAGTATACTTCTTGCCTTTGTCATCTAGTTCAGTGCCAGCAGACTGAGGCCGGAATTCCATCTGCACGACTGTTATCACTACCACCGGACTGACACAAACTCAACCTTTTACAACTTTTACCACGACCAATCATGGCCCCTGGAAATCCCAAACAAACAGCAGATTCGGAGCTCTCGGAAAAAGAACTCCAATCTCTGGCCCAGGCTTCCACGACCACGACCACCTCCTCCTCTTCCCCAGAATCCACCCTCAAGGAAGCAGCCACCACCGCCTCGGCCGCCCTCTCCGCCTCAAAAGAAGCCTCATCCCTGCGCTCCCTAGCCGCCACAATCCAAGACCCCACGAAGCGGGAGAAATACCTAAAAGAAGCGTTTGACAAGGAAATCGAAGCGCATGGCCACAGCAAGAAGGCGCGGATCCTGAGTTCCGGCGCGTTTCAGGGGAGTGTGGGTGGAGGTGGGATTGGTATGGCGGTTGGAGCGGGTTTGGGGACGGTGGTTGGGACGGTGGTGGGGGGAGTGGCGACGATTCCGACGACGGCTTTGGGGACGCTGGTTGGGGCGGGGGTTGGGGGGGTGCATGGGCCGTGGGTGAAGTTGGGGATGGGGAAGGGGAAGGGTGGAGATGGGGATGGGAAGGAGAATGGGAATGGGAATGGGGACAAGGAAGAGGTGTTGGAAGAAGATGCGGTTCCTGATCCGGCTGCTTTGAGAGAAGCAGCGGATAAAATTGCTGAAGCGAGAAGACAGCAAGATGTGGACAAGGAGAAGAAGAAGAAGAAGAAGCCTAGGAAATTGGAAGTGAGGAATAAATAGGCTACTGCTACTGCTGGAGGATAGTCTGCTGGCTGGCTTTGCTTAATGCTGTTCTGGTGTCGCAGAAAAAGTAGTGTATATAAATAGAAATCCCGAGAGGAATAAAACTCTTGCATAGCTTACCGCGTTAGACACGTTGCACCTATTTTATGGAGGATCGTACTAAGTATTTTCATTTTATGTTAATGTATACGACTCAATCTGAGACAATTCGGACAAGATCTATTGCTAGCGCGAACGTTTTTGACGTCACCCCATCACGGCCAAGTTCACTCCCTCCAACGCCGAAGACCAAGCCCCACTCCTCTCCATGATTCTATTCTTCTTCTCACATACCAAAGTAGATTCACATGTTCTCGCGTTGCTCTACCACACAGGTTTTGTTTGTAGGCTCGGGCCGCATCTCCTTGTGCCCCAAATCTGCAACAACTATTGGCTCAAGCCACAAAGAGTACCAAGACCGACAGAGGAACAAGTCTCTGCAGAACCCAAGGCGAGCCGATCTCAGGTTAAGCAATGATATGCTCTCCCCCCGCATTTTGCCCTCGGCTCCTGCGCAAAACACCCCACATGTCCACGGGATGACTAACGCAAAGAAGAAGCCAAGACTTCCACCCCGGAGGCACCAGCTACAATAGGTTGAATGTACAAATCTTCGCGAAGCGCCAGGCTGCGTGCTAATTTCAACGCTGTATGGCAATTCCGTGGCATGCACACAACGTGAACTAGTCGACGGCGACGATTGGTTGTTGTCGATTATGTGGGCGTGGAAACTTGCTTTCAGGAACGGAGATGGAAGCTGGAAAGGTACGCTTGCAAAAAGGACGTTGCCGGATGGAACAGTTTGCCAATGCCGAGTAGCAAGGCGGTGCAATAGCATTACGAAGCGCATCGCAAGGGGCCGATGGTGATCACGACGGCTGCCCTCGAAGTGTCAGTGTCCGGGGGGATGTACATAAGACCGAGCAGGACGCTGTTGTTGTATCTCAAGGCATCACAGACAGCTCGCTTTTTCTGTTTGACTCGTTTCTACTGTACCGGTAGCCCTTCGCTGTTTGTTAATCTCTCATCATGAGGTCCTTTTCACTTCTCCCCATCGCGGCTCTCTGCGCCACCTCGCTCGCTGCACCAACACCCGCAGAGGGCGTCAGCTTTCCCATCACTGACTTGCTCGACTCTGATCTTACCATTGATGAATACGTCCGTCAGCTTGAAGGCAACAGCAATGCCGCACCCGCTGTTACCAAGCGTCAATACACTGGCACTACTTACAACCAACTCACCGATGGCACCCCTTGCCGTGCCGTGACTGTCATCTACGCACGCGGCACGACACAAGAGGGAAATGTCGGTGATGTAGGCTCCGAGGGCCCTACGTTCCTCAATGCTCTTGCCAACCGCTTGGGGGGAACTGGCCGTCTTGCCATCCAGGGCGTAGACTACCCAGCAAACATCTTCGGATTCTTGGCGGGCGGAGATGCCGGCGGAGCCACGACAACACTCAACCTCATCAACCGGGTCAGTCTTTTTTTCCGGGGCAGCTTTGGAATTGACCAGCATGCTAACAGTATCCCAGGCCATCACCCAATGCCCATCCACCAAGATTGTAGTCTCAGGCTACAGCCAGGGCGCCCAACTCGTACACACCGCTACCCAAAGACTCTCAGCCGCCAATGCTGCCCGTATCAACGCAAGTACGTCGTCGAGCTAAACCTCCTTTTCTTTTCATGACTTTTTCTGACTGGCCGTGTAGTCGTCACATTCGGAGACCCAGATCAAGACGAGAGCTTCGGCCCCGTTGCCGCCTCCAAGATCCTCATCATCTGTCACGATGGCGACAACATCTGCGACAACGGCATCATCGTCACCGCTGACCACAGGAACTACGAGCGCGATGCTCCCGCGGCTGCGGAATTCGTGGCCGCCCGTGTTTAGGAAGCCGTGCGTGGCACGACGACGCTTATGAAGTTTTTCTTTTAGTTTCTTATTTTCCGTAATGTGGGATGAATATGAGAATTTACGGCTGCGGGATTGTGTGTGTTTTCTTGGGTGTGGATGTGATGATTGTTTGATGTGATCAGTTTTGCCGGCTTGAGAATTGTGATGTCGAAGAGTTCGGGGTCGGGGCTGCTGATGTCTCGTACCGGTACCGGTACCGTACGGTAACGGATGGAATTCCGATGGAATGGTTTGACGAAGTCGATGCGCTAGGACTAGCGCGTTAGCATTCGGTTGAATTCATCGGATTGGATAGACGTTGAAAGGTTAAAAGAACTGGCAGTCTGTAGTGGTAGTCTGTTATAGCTTGCGTGGGGACATGTGGACCCTGATCTGGTTGGTTACAATAGTCGAGTTTGTGTGCCAGTACTCCCTGTTTGGATCTGAGGTGTTGGTATGTTGTGGATTGACGGAAGCTAGGTGCGGATTGGGTGTTCTCTGGCAGAGATTTAGTTTGAATTGGGAAAACGGGCATGTTCCTCTGATGAATTTCATGTGTTATACTTGACGTTTTTGTCTTGTCAGACGGAATCTTTCGCCAAGGCTGGAAATAGGTCAACCTGACATTCGATCAACACTTACATCTTGCTATATCATAGTAAAACGGGTTGACTACAAACCTCGTAGTAAAATCACAGCGAGCCTTGAGATCTTGGAGTCGATTGTCTCCTTCGTTCTAACTTGTATGGTTGCTGTCCTGCCCAAGTCGTAGGTACTCAGGTCGCCTGCCAATTGTGTGGCCAAGTAGTGGATCTGAATTACCTGCACCATCGCCAAACCGTTGCATGTGCGAACTTCTAGTATCAGACGCCACCGCAAACCGACAAAAGCCGTGAAATGCCTTGCCAGCCACGGAAATCTCGCATGCAGTTATGCCCCACGGGTCGAGAATTGGAGTACCGGTAGGAGCGTGCTTGGCACAATGAGAACCTCACCCTACCACAGAATGCGGTTAGCGCAGATGTCGTGCTCGCCCCCATTGAGTTACAATTGTGTCTGGCCATCTCAACATCATCATCACGAAAGTGAAAAAGAAAAGAAAAAATTGTTTTGCAACGGCGTTGCGGCGAGGGTCTATTGGGAGGTTGCTTTAAGAGATGGAGGACTCCAGGGTCCCTTGGAAGATACCGGTAGTACTCTTCCACCTCACTCTCATATTACGACTTCGACTTCCTTGATCGCACCGCCACCATGTCGATCACCTCCCCTTCTGCGTCTGGAAACTCTGTGAAAGGCTCTGGACCCTTCTTCCGCTCAGTACCTTTCCAGATCCTGGTAGCATGTGGAGTTTCATTCACAGCGCCCGGTATGTGGGACGCTCTTGGTGGACTGGGAGCAGGAGGAGCAGCTGAACCTTACGCTGTGTCTGCCGCCAACGCCTTGGTATACGGTCTCTTCGCCATTGTCTGTGTAGCAGCCGGTGCTATCAACAATCGTATTGGTCTCAGATATGGACTTGCTCTAGGTGCCATTGGATACCCTCTGTATGGTGCTGGATTGTACACGAACAATGTCAGCGCCAATACCTGGTTCATGCTCTTCGGAAGTGCGCTTTGCGGTATCTCTGCTGGTTTCTTTTGGGCAGCAGAAGCTGCTATTATTATCGGCTACCCGTCTCCGGGTGATCGTGCCTTCTACCTGGCTGTTTGGCAAACCGCAAAGGCTGCTGGACCTATTGTCGGAGGTGCAATCAACTTGGGCCTCAACGCCAACAGGAAGACCATAGGCTCCGTGTCATCCACCACGTACATCGTCTTCATTGTCATCATGTGCCTTGGTCTTCCCGTCGCCCTGTGCCTCTCTCCGGCCCACAAGGTCTGGCGCAAAGATGGCACCCGCATCGTTACCGACCGCGCCTCTTCATGGGGCAAGGAGTTCAAGGCAGTCGGGAAGCTCATGATCAGCCGCAGGATCCTCCTTTTGCTCCCAGCCTTCTTCATCAGCTATTTTTACAATGGCTTCATGAGCACATGGTTGACGACTTACTTTACCGTCCGCTCCCGCGCCTTCAGCAGCTTCTTCAACAACTTCGCCGGCATCTTCAGCTCCTTTCTCATTGCATTCCTACTGGACAACCAAAAGATCCACATCAAGACACGCGCAAAGATTGCCTTTTGCACCATCATCACCATCCTCGTCGGCACCTGGATCTGGGCCACCGTCCTCCAAAAGCAATTCTACGACGCAATCGAAGCCCCCGTCTTCGATTGGTTCCGCGGCGGCTTCGGCAAAAGCTACGCCCTCGTCTTCTTCTGGCAATTCGGCGGCCAAGCCTTCCAGCAATTCCTCTACTGGCTCGTTGGTCAGTACGCCACCGATCTGTCCAATCTCAGCCATCTCACAGGTATCCTGAGAGGTACCGAGGCGCTCGGGCAGACTGTGGCCTGGGCCATGCAGTCCGAGGGCGGGGCGAACCATTTTGTTAGCATCGGACTCAACTTTGGTGTCACGATGCTGTGTATCTTTCCGACATGGATTGTGCTTTCCGAGTTGGAGGGTAGCCATGAAATTCGCGTCGTGGAGAAAGATGCGCAGGCGGAAGAGAAGCTGGCTGTTGAATCGTGACGGATGGGGATTTTGGTTGGGTATTCTGCGTAGATAGCTTGAAATCGATCATCATTTCAATGCCACTGTGATGCCGTTGTTGTTTTGCGCAGACATCTTCCATGGTCGAAATGTCGCCTGTTTGTCTATTTTCTTCAAACTACCAAGGCATGAGATATTCTACGTGCGTATACGAGATCAACACGACTCCCACCATCTTGCCGCAACACCATATAAAATTCCTCCACCGCAGTCTGATCCTGCCGCCGTTTTACCACCTATCCATTCCAATCCTGTCATTGTTCTCACATCACTATTCATGCCACCAACATGCACAAAGTATAAACACACATACAATTCGATTCGAGAATTCGATTACTTCCGCCAAGTTTCCAAGAGAAGGATAAGAAAGTTTCCATGACACCAGACAAGAAAGCGAAACTTTGCTTTGCCTTCTCAAAAGACATGCCGAAGCAACATTATACTCCCGCCAAAGAACCCATACAAGACACCAAAGCATGCTCTCCATTAGCCAGCCTTAGATACAGCCCAGCGTAGCCCAGCTTGTTCTTCACAAAAAATTAATCACAATGACAAGCATGCCTTGATCTCGGCGCCACAGAACCCACGTGTTCAATCAGCTTCATACGAGCTCGCAAACTGAGACTCGTGCATCTCGAATCATTCAATGTCTCCGTGGGCAAACGCAACGTATGTCAGTCTCAGGAGTCAGGTTCAAGTCACCAAAGGTGCCGAGGGATGTAGTCACGGGCAAGGGTGGGTGTGTCTATAAAGTATGACTGGATATAGCGCGTTGGCTTAATTCACTGAGCTGACTACTTAGGCTTCGTGGTGATGCTGTCTCCTGATCAACAACAAGGCCGTGCGTTTGTAAATCTTTCCATTGAATTATCGATACTGCACTAGACCACAGCGAGCGGTCGAAAGGAAGATAAAAGGTTCTCTTGTGGCAGCAGTCTATGCTCTCAAGTTGACGTGCTACACAAAGCTCGAGCCCTGGGTAGGAGCGTTGCCATTTTCCCTCTGTCAGCACCCACTCGTTCTCTTCAACCGCATCTCGATCTGCCAAATTCGACCCGTCACTTCGATCCAGCACTCTACCAAGTATCCGAGATTGGAGACAGGAATAGACAAAAGTGAAAACCCGAGATCCAGGAACAAGAAGTATCGCGCTGCCTACGGCTCGTGAGTCCTTCGACAGTACGCCAACACCTCTTTCTCCATCTACGAGCTCGCCGACGAGCCCCAATCACGCATCACGCATCACGCATCACGCATCACGCATCACGCATCACTATACCAACGCTGTGAGACTCTATACCCTGCCAAATACGACATCATCTGCTCAGGTTGCCAAGCGACCATGTCGAGTCAAACAATTTCGATCCCAAGGAGCACTGCCATGCGCGCACACTGTGGAAGCTGGCTATTTACGCTGCCATCCGAGCTTCGTAATAAGGTTTACGAGCTGATCATCCCCGTTGGCAAGGTCATCACTTTACATCGAGAAGAAGAATCCCAGCGGATGTCATGCAGAATCACAGGTGACTGCGGGCCGGCAACAACGGCACTGACACAACTGCCAGCATCTGATGGAGCTCATCCCAAGCTGCATGACTGCCTGGCTCTCCTGTTGACATGCCAACAGACGTACCACGAGGGAGCAGGTACTCTGTATGGTGCGAATATTCTGCGCTTCAGTCAAAACACAAGGAACCCTACCAGCGTGTGCAAGTTGCTGAGCATAACGGTGAACTTCTGTAGCTCTATAGGCTTTGCCATCCACTTTCTCCAGAGGATCGAGATCGATTTGTCCTGTATCAGCGTCCCTGCGTGCATTTGTAAAATGCACAGGCGTGGCGTTGCTCGCTGCACACATAAATGCATTGACCTGGCCCCGCTCCAGAAGTTGCTCTGGCAGGAGGCTGTCGAGAACTGCGAGATTAGCTTCGTGAAAAGCAAATTTCAAGGTCTGGTATTGCTCCAGGGTCAAGGCCGGTACGACTACAACGTGGATGTCCTCAACAATCTGGTATCGTGTTTGCGAAGAGATACCGCAGGTCTACGCCGGTACGCCCAACAGCTTCAGACGCTAGAAATCTGTCCGAGTTCGATGCTGAGCACCAATCACTGCTTGATGAAGGTGGTTCCGAGTACGCAACCTTACAGAGGTCTAGCACAGTTGCGATATAGACATGGGTCAAGACACCTTGATATTCCCATCTTACTCCTAGACAGCGACGGAAACCATCTTCATCAAATGGCCCCATACAAGGCAAACTTTATGGGTTTGCCAAATACGCTACGATCCAAAATCTTCCGGGAGATCTTGTGTCCTGATGCCAATGTCATCTTCGATCTGGAAACCGGACGACGACCCGCAATCAATCGCACATTGCTAGATATGTGGTGGCCGGGAAATGCAGTCGATGACCTAAGTTTGCTCTTCTGGCGAGAGAACGTGATCACATTTCGCATGACATCGACTTCTCGCGATCTGCCATCTTCCCGATTCCAACCAATGAAAGAGGTCCTGTGCGTGAAGAGGACGTTCGATGGATGGCTCTATCCATGGTTTCCGAGGGCGAATTTCAAGGCTTGCAGCAACTTAAAGCTAGAGCTTGCTTTCAAGCTTGAAGATGGCGTAACTCTGGCGGATGTCGAAGTTGGCGTAAAAGGTCTACTGCGATTAGCATCAGGATACCAAGGTCGCGAGTTTCGCATCACGTGCTCTTTATACCATGAATCTGCGCCTGACACCGTCATTGAGGTGTCCACGTTCTCCCTGCAAGACGTACAAGCGAATGTTCTTGAGCTGTTGTCTGCTATTGATGATGAGGATGAAGAAAACGCCAACTTCGAAATCTACATCAATGGCCATGGTGAATCGAAGAGGCTGGAGATGTCTATGAGCTCGGGCAAGCGCATACTACCCAGGAGCCTGTTATCGCCCAGCAAGGGTTTCGAAACAATCGTCGCACAACACGGGTCTGTAAGTGACCTGAATGACGATATCACCAACGATTCTGAGGCAAGGTACCACGCGACCTTGTGGTCTTGGCTTGCCTTTGTGAGAGAAGTCGTTACAATAAAACCTACTTATCATCAAGACGATCTGTTCGAAGAGCAACAGAGAATTCTGCTGTGCCACACCAAGTACTTCGGTATTGAGGTAACTAAGGACCATGAGCGCCGGAAAGTGGACGTGTTTTACCAGATCAGGCACAACGAGGCACCATTTCAGGAGACAGCCTCAGGGCAGCTTGAGCAGCGCATTGTCTAAAAAGGTGATATAGAAGCGCCAAACATCGGTGAAGGGGACTAGAAGTCTTAGCAAGCAAATCTGCAAAGAGTTTTGTAGCAATCTATAAGAGGAAATGTAGCAACAAAGAAGAGAATAGAAGAGAGATTTGATGCTTGTTTTCCGAGACAAGCGACCCTAAAAGGTACTATGATTGCGGTTTCTCGAGTCCTTCACATGGACATTAGCTTGCTTGATTGAGGAATGCAATTCCTCTGTTTGTGAGCAGCAAGCCGACAGTGAATGTCTATGGACAAGAGGCAATGTAATAAAGAGCTAGATGAGGTGTGTGTCATAAATAGACAGCGAGTGTTTACCACAGGTTGTCGTGCTCTCACCTCGGCCAACGGAGGAAGGTACAGCCGAGGGTACGTACCTATCGTCACAGGCCAGCCCCCGAGGGCGCAGTTCATATAACCATGGAATTAGCGCTGCGTGAACTTATATTTAGCATAGGGTTAGGCCGTGCCAAGCTCTACTAGCTAGCTAAGCAAGGTTAACTAAATATTATACTATAAGATTTTATAACACGTTCTAAACCTATTCTAAATATATTCTATACTAGTAATACTATAAGCTACTACTACTATACCTATTACTAATATATCCCTCTTATTTTATATAAGTAGATTAAAACATGTTTAGAACGTGTTCTTAATAGGTTATAGAAGCACTATTAATAGTACCTTATCCTTAGCTACGTCCTAGATAATATTAGGGTATAGCCTATAGTTAGCCCTAATAGGGTAGTTAAGATAGAGAGTAGAGAGCGCTACTACTATACTAAGATTAATAATAAGGGCACCTTATATAGAGTAAGAATAGGTTCTAAACGTGTTCTAAATAGGTTCTAATATTCTTAGGCTATTCTAGGTACTAAGGGCACTCTATATACCTATGCTAAAAAAGATTATAGGCTTAATATAGCCTACTATAAGGTTAGTAAGGTTAAGAAGACTAGCTAGCCCTCTATAATAAAGGTCTATAAGGTAAAGAGTAAATATATTATTAACCTATTCTTAACTTATTATACTAATATATATAGACTTCTATATAAAGGTTATATATAATTACTAGAATACTTTTTACTATAAGTTATTTAGAATATATTTAAAACTTATTACTAACGTGTTTTATAGAAGTTCTCTAAGCCTAGCTAGTAGCTACTATAGGCCCCCCTATAAATACTAATACCCTCCTAAATATAATTTAGAAGAAGACTTATAGTAGCTATAATAGTAATAAGGTATAGCCTGTAAGAACCTATTAAAAATATATTACTAACTTATTATAGCTTAACTTTATTACTATATCTACCCTACTAAAGATTTAAGGTTATTAGGTTCCTTATACTATCTACGCTTATAATTATCCTAGCTATAGTAAGTTATTTATAATATATTATTAACCTGTTCCTAACGTGTTTTAAGACTATTACTTTAATACTAGTGTAGACCTTGCTAATTCCTGCTAGAATACTACCTAGTTCCACTTATAGTATACTTTTATAGAGCCTAGGGAGGATAAGGAGGATAGAGAAGATACTAGAGAGGGGGAGGGAGATAATAATAGTAATAAGTAGGAACACGTTAAGAATATATTAAGAATAAGTTCTAATAAATAATATATAATAGTATATAACCTAAAGGGGTAGTAGTAATTACTAAAATAAACTCTCTACTCTTCTCTTTTTTTTTCTATCTACTAAAAGTAAAGTACTATTTACTTTTATAGGGTCCTTTAATAGTATATAACTTTTTCTTTTAACTTTTATAAGTATTATAAAGCTCTAGTAGTCCCTTAGATTAAAGAAGAATCTAGTATTTATAGGTGTCTAGCTATAACGTATTATTAATATATTCTAAACGTGTTTTAAGAGACTAGACTTATATCTCCTTTTTACTACTTTTGCTAAATATTATTTATAGTATAAAGGGGAGTAACTATTTACTCCTTTTCTTTACTCTCTGCTTCCTCTTTAGCCTCTACTCTAGCTACTACTTCTTATTATAGACTAGCTATCTTAGAGAGTTCTTAAACCTTAGAGGAGGCACTTAGTGTAGTCTACTCTACTAGTAGAGAACGTATTATTAACGTGTTTAGAATACGTTCTTAAGCATTTACTATTAAGCTCCTATAGAAGATCCTTGCTTCTGTAATGCCTTATATTATAGTTTTGCTATAGTTTACTAGGGCTATTTAAACCTTAGGATAATACCTTTTAAGGTAGTAGATAAGATTACCTCTATTAGAGAAGTAATACTAAAATAGTTATTAATATATTATAAATATATTCTAACTTATATGTATATATACTCTATAAAGTTCCTATACCCCTAATCTAGCCTAAATAGCCTAGTAGAAAAGCTTGCTAGGAAATACTATACACCTATTATTTAGGTAGGATATTACAGGAAAGAATACCCTAGTATTAGATAGAAGTGACTTAAGCTTAATATATTACTAGTATAAATCCTACTTAGTATTAGAATAAGTTTATAACGTGTTCCTAACATATTCTATTATATACTAACTTTAAAAGATCTTTATAGACTATATTAACTAGTTATATCTAATAATATTAAGAAAGATAGATAGTAAAATAGTATTAAACTCTTAAATATAAAAAGTTCTTGTAGAGTGTAAGAAGAAAGAAGAAGAAAGAGAAGAAGAAAGAATATATATTTATCTACTTATATATACTTATATAATAGACTAGAATATATTAAGAACTAGTTAAAAACTAGTTACTATATTTATAGACTAACCCTACCTTATATAAAAAGTAGCTATCTCTTTCTTAAGTTTAAACTATGCTTTTTATAATTTAAATAGTGCCTTTTTCTATATAAGTTCTTCCTTATCTACCTCTAGCTTTTCTTTTCTCTCCTTTAGAGCCTAATTACTAAGAAGAGCCTTTTATTATAAAGTTTATAGTTATAGACTAATAATAAGTTAGGAACGTGTTATAAATGTGTTTCGCGAAGCATACCTTTAGGTTGCTATTAGTAGAGAAGAAGAGCCTAGTAGTAGAGAAGATAGAAAAGGGGCTAGTAAACTTCTTTCTAATACTACTCTACTACTTGCCCTCTAGCTTTAGGCTTTTAAGCGTGCTCTTTTATTTCTTATTAGGACTAAGATATATCTAGTTAAGTTAGATATAGCAAGACTTACTTTATTATTATCTAGAGTGTTATTATTATTATAGGACGCGTTCTAAACATGTTCTAAACATGTTTTAATTAGTAAATATATATAACACTAGCGTAAGACTTACTTTCTCCCCTCTAAAGCTTTTTAAGGTACCTTTACTTAAGCCTATTAGGAGTTCTATAGTTATAGCATATTCTAAACTTGCTCTAGGCCTTAAACTCTTTTATATCCTATAGATCTATCTAGTATATACTACACAATATTACTTATACAATTCTAATAGGTTAAGAATAGGTTATAAACTTACTTTTAAGTAGCCTTAAGAATACTTATATGCTTACTAGTTTTATATCCTTTCTAGCCTGCTTGCTTAGCTATATTTAAATAAGATTCTAGTTTTTCCTATACCTCTTTTAATATTTTACTATAGTATTATATAATCCTAGTAGCAATTACTAGGTTTTTCTTATAGATTACCTAGTTTTAGGTATCTTTAGAGGGTTTGTGTTCTAATTATATAAGAATAAGTTAGGAACACGTTTAGAATAGGTTTAGAATATATTTACTTACGTAAGAGGAGGTTAGTAAGCTAAAAGTATTCCTCTACTATTAATGCCTGTAGTAATTTACTTAGACATAAAGAGGTAGTATTATCTAGCTCTCTTTTATATGCTTTGTGAATACTTCTTTATAGATATACTTAACAAAATCTTATATAAGATTAAAGTTGCTAGCGCTAGTTACGCTTATAGGGATTAATTAACTAGAGATAGCGCCTAAGTCCTAGAAACAAGTTAGAAACACGTTACAAATATATTATAGTGCGCTATAAAACTTGCCTATTATCTACTTATTATATATATTAATAGTAGTCCTATAGAATCCCTATAAGTAAATATGCCTCTATAATACTTATCTTTTTATAAGTGCTTTACACTTCTAAAAGAAGTTAGTAATAGTAACTTAATATATCTTAGTTATATCCTTATCTATAATAATTTAGCTAAGTGTAATAACTATAATATATTAGAAACATGTTACAAACCTATTCTTAATACGTACGCTTCTTTTCCTATAGGTAGAAGATTACTATTAGAATCTCTACCTATGCCCTATATAACCTCTTATATAATATATCTATCTAGAACGTGTCTTAATCTAATAGAATTAATGCCTACTCTTTAAAAAGGTAAATAATTAAGTTACCTAAGCTTAATATAAAGATTTACTATATATACGCCTGTAGTAACATATTAGCAATATATTCTAAACCTATTCTCTTACACTATATATAGTTTTAGGATCCTAATGCTTTATCCTCTACTTATAGTGTACTCCTCTAAGGCTACTCTTAAATAGGAACTATAGAAGCTTTTCACGCTTTATAATACACAAGATTTTATCTTTATTTATAAAGCTAATATATATTTCTTTAATAGAATAGAAACCTTTAAGTTAGAGATAGGTTTAGAGCTAGGTTAAGTTTAGGAACTAGGCTATAATAAGTTAGGAATATATTTATAACAGGTTGTAAACAACTTATATTATATAAGCTATAGAGTAAGTATAGGCTATAACACCTTTACTACTTCCTTAATATTACTATTAGATAGTGTTAAGGGAGGAGGAGGTATATATATATATATACTAAAAGAAATAATAGTAAAAAAAGGTATTACTACTATATCTATTAGTATAATTACTTAGAAGGTAACTTTATATAGGATTTTAAATAGAGATCCTTACCCTTATAGATAATTAACGCCTAGAATATATTAGGAACATGTTAGGAATAGGTTACAATATACCTACTACACTTCTTTATCTAGCTTAACTATAGCTTAACCACAGAATATAAAGCAGGACTACTAGAAAGATTTAATATCTCCCTAGTTAGAAGACCTTGTAGATATATAGAGTCTACCTCTAGTAGTACCTAACTAAAATAATATTTTTTCCTAGTAGTAGATATTAGGCTATAGTTCTAATAGCTAATATATAGTTAAGCCTATTCTATAATTTACTAACTTATTATTAATATATTTTAAATATATTTAAGTTTTGCTCCCTACCTAATTTACTATAGTCCTTATTATAGGATAATAAGACACCTAGTAGTCCTTATAAATCCTTAAAGAGAAGCGCTTAATAAGGCTATAATAATAGCTTCTTATTTATAGTTCTCTTTATAGAATTTTCTTAGGTACTATACTTTTTAAGGTTTAGATCTAATTATATAATATATTATTAATAATGTAATAAGAACACGTTTATAACGTGTTCTTAAGATACTTACACGCTTTTACCCTAGAGTATTAGTATTTATACTAGCTTGCTAGCTAGCTATTAAAGAATAGTAAAGTTATAGGCCTATTAAGATAGATAGACTAGTAGGAGTATTATACCTACTAGAATTAGAATAATTTAAGAACGTGTTCTTAACGTGTTACCTATATAGCCTGCACAAGCACCTCTTCTCTTATTAGGTAAGAGCTATCTTTATATTACTAAACTAGTATTATATACCTATACCCTTAGCTATATAATTAAGGGTATACTAGGAGAATAGCTATATACTTAATAATTACTAGTGTAAGTAGTAGTTCTTAACTATTACTATAAGTAAGGTATATATTATACCCCTATAACGTATTACTAACCTATTCTAAACTTGTTCTATTTACTTTTACTTACTTCCTTAACGCTACTACTACTATCCTCCTCTAGCACTTTATATAGTTGCCTAAATTTATCTCTAATATTACTATCTAGTTTAGATATATTATCTAGTACTGCTATACTAAACTCTAGTATAGTATTTAGGAACACCTATATATTATTAAGAATAGGTTTAGAATATATTTAAAAAAGATAGTAATAAAAACTACGTTTACTTGCTTAAATTACCCTAATTTATACTTAACTATAGGCTAGTTTATATAACTATAAAAATTTGCTACTGTGATATAGACTTGAACCTACAGGGATATTCTAACCACTCGGAGTAAAGCCCAAGTCGCCCGACGCTAAACCCATGGTCATATGACATGCCACCACCCAGCCCCCCTAGCGTCGGGGAGTATAGCCCACCTCCAACGTCACTTACCCCAACGCCTCCAACAGCGCTCAGAAGTCAGTACATATTTCAACGACGTTTCTCTTCTTCTCCGAGGTGTTTGGCTGCCTTGTCTTCATCTCATCTTCTGCCAGCTCTCGAATCACTACGACACAGGGAAACACCACAATCATGACATCCCTCCTAAAAAAGTCCTTGAGACTCGCTCTCATCCAACTCGCCAGTGGGGCCGATAAATCGCAAAACCTCTCCCACGCGCGCTCCAAAGTCCTCGAAGCCGCGAAACAGGGCGCAAATCTCGTCGTCCTTCCAGAATGCTTCAATTCTCCCTATGGCACAAAATACTTTGACAAGTACGCGGAAACCCTTCTTCCCAGCCCGCCCTCGGAAGCGCAATCACCCACCTTTCACGCCCTCTCGAGACTCGCAAAGGAGGCAAATGTGTACCTTGTAGGCGGGAGTATACCAGAGCGGGAAGACGCGACACAGAAGCTATACAATACGAGTTTAACATTTGCGCCGAGTGGACAGTTACTCGCGACGCATAGAAAGGTCCATCTCTTCGACATTGACATCCCCGGCAAAATCTCCTTTCACGAGAGCGAAGTGTTATCCCCGGGAAACAAAATCACCATCGTGGACTTGCCTGAGTACGGGAAAATCGCAGTCGCAATATGCTACGACATCCGCTTCCCTGAACTAGCCACCATCGCGGCGCGCAAAGGCGCATTCCTGCTGGTATATCCCGGTGCATTCAATTTAACGACTGGCGCGCTGCACTGGGAGCTGTTGGCAAGGGCACGGGCGACGGATAACCAGGTCTATGTGGGATTATGCAGTCCAGCGAGGGATATGAAGGCCGAGTATAACGCGTGGGGACATAGCTTGGTGGTTGATCCCAACGCGGTGGTGACAGGCCAACTAGATGAAAAGGAAGGCACGCTCATCCAAGATCTGGTGGCAGGCAAGATTGAGGAGACACGAAAGGGCGTGCCGTTGTACGGTCAGCGCCGATTCGACGTTTATCCCGATGTGAGCAAGGGAGGACGATTCGAAGAGTAGAGTGAGAATCCGTCATGGCGAGGTTGATTTACGATACCAAGTGATGAATTATGAAAGATGGTGACCATGTACATATTGCATGAAGTTGAATGTGTCAGTAGAGTTGGACAGGGTAAATTCAAAATCATAGTACTGTATTGGCGAGGTTAGCATCGGCACATTCTTCAAACCAAGATACACTGTAGATAAAGAGAAGAGCGGGCTGTTGTTGTATAGAGAAGTTGGATATGACGTCTTTGCCGTATTTGTGTTGTGGAGCAGAGATTGTGTAAATCACAGAGTGTGGTAATTCTAACCCTGCATTGAACATTAAACTTGTCTCGTACATTAGTCCCGTATCAAATTATACCAAACCATGAACTTTATCAGATGATTTGCAGATTCTGGCAGCGTGAAGTTACTACAACACATTATACGCATATATAGTATGATGACTAAATTACTCCTCCTCCACCAACAACAAAACCACCGCTTCCACCCAGCCCAGAGTCCAGACACCTTCCCACCCTCTCCCCCGGAAACAAAAATCCATCGCGCAACATGATCAAAAAACATGATAATCCCTCCTATCCTCGACGCCGCATCCCCACCAAACCCCTCCCAACCCGCACTAACCCAACGCGTCATCCCCCCCACCTTCCCCCACCAGACACCTATTGTATGTAGCCACCCCACCACCGCCACCACCCAACCCATAGCAACACAATCCCAAATCCGCGCCTTCTACCAGCCCAGAATAATGACGGTGCTCCGATGCCCTCGCACCCCGTGTGTCGGGGGCCCCAGGGGGACGGGAAAACACCGGGGTGCCGTGAGGGCGGGGAGCCGGTCGCGTACGTAGGAGGGATGACCGTACGGTAGGGTACCGGTTGCAGCGATTGCGGACCGGAGCTGGGGTGGGGGAGGGTGTAAGAGGGAGGGGAGCGTGTGATATAATGGGGTCTGGGGGAACTTGTGCTAGAAGAGAAAGAAAAAAAGAGTATTTGGTTTTCTTGTCCTGGCAAGAGATTGAGAATTTATTTTTAATTTCAAGGATTGAGATTTTTTTTATATGTATTGAAGACGGTGTGGATTTAAAGATCAAGACGAGAGTTTTCTTGGAGGTTGAAGGTATACTGGTTGTTGGGGACCTTGTGGTTGCAAATTTGTGGACGGTTGTCGATTGAGTGGATTGATCATGGCTGGGCAAGAAATGAAGCCGACGTTTGATGGTATGACTATTTGGATGGGGATAGAGGATTAAGGCTAATAGGTTCAAGACATCATGGGCTGTCAAGCCGCAGTCTACGAATGGGCAGATAGCTACGATAGCAAAGTACATTCCACCCACCCCCCTTGTTGCGGCCTCCAGCTCACATTCCTCCCCCTTTAGGACTGGGAGCGGCTGAGCAAATGCATCGCGCCAACGCTGCGCATCGACTACCGCTCCTTCCTCGACAAGATCTGGGAAGCCATGCCAGCGGCCGACTTCATCGCCATGGCATCGGACCCCAACGTGCTGGGCAACCCGCTACTCAAGACGCAGCATTTCATCGGCGGCACGCGGTGGGAGAAGACGGGGGACGACGAAATCACGGGCTACCACCAGCTGCGGGTGCCGCACCAGCGATACACGGATGCGACGCGGACACAGGTTGCAGTCAAGGGGCATGCGCATAGTGCGAATACGCACTGGTATCGGAGAGTGGATGGGGTGTGGAAGTTTGCGGGGCTGAGCCCGGATATCCGCTGGTTCGAGTATGATTTCGACAAGGTGTTTGCCGAGGGGAGGGATGCGTTTGGGGAGGCTAAGGCGGCGAGTGGGATTCCTGCAGAGGTTGGTGGTGGCGGGGAGAAGGGGGAGTGATTGATATTGGGATATTGGAATGTTAGCAATGTGATTTTGTTGTTCAAATTCATCAGTGTATGGCGAGTTTCTTTCCAGGGAGCTCAAAGTGGATGACCTGCTGTGGCTAGTAGTGGCGTGGGGGTGTGATTGAGATTGGAATACTAGCAATACCGGTATAAATTTGTTTCCAAGTCTTGAACGATGACCACTTTATTTCCGTGAGGCTCCATGTGGATATCCTGCTGTAGCTAGTCGCAGTAGTGCGAGTGTGCAAGCAACATGGGGAATATACCGGGACATTGGCAATGCAGCTTCTGCTTGAGTTGATATGTAGTTGATGATGGTAGCAGTCTAGTAGCAGACCAGGATGAGAAATTGAGCATGGAGTCAATAGACTTTCTGCTGTGGCTAGTGGTGATGCGCAGCGTAGGGAGATTGGTTGATATTGGGATTATCAGCAATGCGCAAATTTTCTTCAAAGCCGTGAGGTCTTTCGGTCAAGGCAGGAAGGGTGGTGGAAAGGGCACGGGGCGTAGTAGTATGAGCTATAGGCTGTGATTAACCTTTTCGAGTATTGGTATGATGTCAGCTGACTGGCAGATGATGCAGCCCTGGACCCGGTGATTCAATGCGTGCGCATGGCATGGCAGTACCCTGGAGTACTAGAATCTCGAACAGGTACAGTCGACGGGCTCCACTACCTTGACAGTGTATATGTGGGATGTCCGGTAGTAAGGCTGTTATGCCAATGTGAACCTACCAACGTTTGTGCCTCCAGTTCCACGGATCATCATCGTCGCCGTCAAGGTGCAGGAGGACACCCTCGGCTCTCTTTCTCGTTCTCTTAGTCATCTCAATTGTTGAGTCGGCACAAGTGCCTAACAGACACTACAACATACTCTAAAACATGAGCCAGCCGTTGTGGGCAACACCGTAAAAAGTTGGCTGGTTGGCTCTAGTGGAGACGGTTGACGAAAGCCGGAAGCCGTTTTCGGCGATGCAGGACGGTGATTGGTTGAAGCCACGAGGGGGGCCTGGCAAATTCGCGCACGGGATTTGTCCCACTTTGGCCTAGGACGAGTGTGTGTACAGTCATATGTACCGTGTATGTATACGTACACGGTAGATATAAGTGTGTGTGTGGGTGTGTGTGTGTGGGTGTGTGTGTGTGGGTGTGTGTGTGTGGGTGTGTGTGTGGGTGTGGGTGTGTCTGTGTGTGTGTGTGTGTGGGTGTGTAGGTACTGCAGTGCACTGGTTAGACATACTGTGTACAATGGGGCAGAGAGGACTGGACTTGTAGCCACAGGAGATGAGATGGGTACTTGTACGTGCATACAGTATTGTATTGTACTAGTACTACAGTCCTACAGAACTACAGTACTACAGGCCTACAGTACTACAGTAGGCACTCCAGTAGTAGAGGTGGTGGCCACTGAGCAAAGGCCCGCCCGCGCTGCAAGGCTCACTCGCTCGTCCGCCCTCGCTCGCTCGCTCAGCGGACCAATGCAAGTCATCCTAAATGCCCTGGGAGTGGATGCAGCTCCTGTTGGCCGCGGGGGCCAGCCTACTCCTCATGTGCCTATTAATAACGCGCGTGGGAGTTGGCCTTGCACAGGAAGAGGAGGGGGAGAAGGCAGATCGTTGATAAGAGAGCCAATCTGGGGGCCCAGCGTGCCAGCCCTTGTCACGATCCATCCCATCGATGAGCAGCAAGAGGGCAAAGAGGCGAGGCGGGCGAGGCCAGGTGTGACCAAAACGGCCAAACGAACGAGTCGCAAGACCGGTAGCCCTGGAAGAGGGCTGGAAGCGGCATCTGCAGACTGCATCACAGACAGAACTCTGCATCCATGCGCTCTCTCTCTCTCTCTCTCTCTCTCTATGTAGACTGCAGACTAATGGTCTCCTTGTAGGGAGGAGAGAGCGAGGATCTCCAAAAGCTTGATTGCGCCCAGTTTTTTTTTTTTTTTTTTTATAGCTTTTGCCTATTTTCCCCTTCCATGTACTCAATAGAATACCTAGTAGTAGTAGTAGTGGTGGTGGTAGTAATGATAATAATAATAATACATAGGTACCTACATGCAGTACAATACAAGCTTCCATGGTTACCCCCCCTCACCCCTCCAGGCTTCCCCCCCCCGCCCCAAGGCCCCAGGGTTCGCGCCTGAGCATCCATGGATCGCTACCGAGCGGACGCCGCCACACAACGACCGGCGAATTGGATTGGTGCGGCATCGAGCGTCTCTGAAAGGCCCGCCGGTCTTCATCACACATCCTCTCTGCTCTACATAGTATCCCTCTTCTCTTCTCTCCTACCCCACCCCATCTTTTTTCGCTGCCCTCCATCTGCTCCCACAGCACACACTTGCCTCCCCTTTGTGCGCCCTGACATCTCTGCGTCTTCCCTTTGCGTTGTGTGTGGTCTTGGCTTACTTTTGCCATTCCTGCCTTCCACTCTTCTTGGTGTCCTTGAGTCTTTTCGGTGCGTATCTCCATCCTTTCTTCCATCTTCTTCTGTCTCCCTCACAATTTTCATCTCGCCTTGGCGCGGCGGGCGGCGGGCGCTGCACAGCGCCGTGGTGTGCACGACAGCGCGACACAATTCATAACACAGCGAACGGATGTCTGTGTGTGTGTGTGTGTGTGTGTGCGTTTGTGAGTAGGCAGAGAGAGAGAGCAAACACTGCACAGGCGCCCTGTCTGTCTGTCTGTCTGTCTGTCTGCCTGCCCCTCGCCCGCCCACTGCCGCTGCTCGAGAACTCGAGGTGGCTGAAGGCTTGCGCTGCGCTGCGCTGCGCTGCGCTGCGCTGCTGCCCGCTGACGTCGTCGGCTGCACGGTCCCCTCGCCTGTGTGTGTCTGTGTCTGTGTCTGTGGGTGTGGGTGTGGGTGTGGACGTGGACGTGGGCGTGTTGCTCCTCTCTCCACCCGGCATCCGCAGCAGCGCACGCAGCTTGAGAGGGGCGCCAGATACATGCAGACGCGTTTCGTTTGTGTGGGCGGCGCCTTGTCGTGAGCCTCGTGCGACGCTGCGCGCATGTGATCCCTCGCCGTGAGTCCAACCTTACTGACTGCCTGCCTAGAAACCCACTTCGAGCTTCCTCTCGGCCACTCGTTCCCCTCTTCTCTCCTCTCCTCCTCTCTTCCCACCCACCTCCCATCGATCCTTGGTGCGTGAGTACTTCGGGTTCAGAGGCCACTGTGTCGCCAGCTTTCCGGTTGTCTCCTTGAGTGTCCACCATCACCAGCCACCAGTCTTCCCTTGTGCCTGTACTCCTTCCCTGTGCAGCACGCGCCTTCCACTCCTCCACTCGCTGGTAGCAACGCTTTCGCCTATCGTGACCGCCCGCTCCAGTGCCTAGTAAGTGCAGCCTTAAGTCCTGAGCTTGAACCATCCCTCACCTTTGCCCCCTCCACCCGCCCCACCCACTGCCTAGCCGCAGCTCTATTGTGCGCCAATTGACCGCACGCTAACCATGGTTTTTCTTCGCGCGCAGACTCTCTAGCCTCGACTTCGATTCTCCATTATACTTAGAAGCCCGATAGCTTTACCTCGCCACTTCGACGATAGCAAACCGATCCTTACCAATCTCAACTTGAACCTTGTTACCCAATGTCTTTCCAGCAATACGACCAGTTCCAGGGCCAGCCCGTCGGCGGCGAACAGCAGCAACAGCAGCAGCAGCAGCAGCAAATGACCCCGCAGCCCGACATGTCCCAGCAGATGGGCCAGCCGATGGATACTTCTGGCAACGGCTTTCCTCAAGGCCAGATGGGCCCACCAGGCAGCGCGGGCGGCGATGGTCAGGGCCAGGGCGCCGGCAAGACCACCCTCTGGTGAGTGCACATTCATGCGTGCCTCTGCGCGAACGCTCGCGCACGCTTTGTACATACTTGTTGTCTTTGCGCATGCTGGCGCATCTTGTGCGCCGTTCATGGGCATGACGAAAAATGCGCCTCTGCTACGCCAATGGCATGCTGTGATGGAGAACTGAAGACTGACATGACGCAGGATGGGTGAACTGGAGCCTTGGATCGACGAGAACTTTGTGCGCAGCATCTGGTACAACATGGGCGAGACGGTCAATGTCAAGATGATCCGCGACAAGTTTTCTGGGTGAGCAGAATCTCGGCCTCTTCCTTTTCCTGTCCGTCTGACTGACTGATAGCAGCAACGCTGGATACTGTTTCGTCGACTTCTCGAGCCCCGATGCTGCCGCCAAAGCGCTCACGCTCAATGGGCAATTGATTCCCAACTCGAACCGCCCCTTCAAGCTCAACTGGGCCTCTGGAGGGGGTCTCGCCGATCGCAGGTAGGCATTCGATAAGATGACCCCAGGACATGCGTGTGATTGCTGACGCACCACAGCCGCGATGAGCGAGGTCCCGAGTACAGCATCTTCGTTGGCGACCTGGGTCCCGAGGTCACTGAATTCGTGCTCGTACAGCTCTTCCAGAACAAGTACCCTTCCACCAAATCCGCCAAGATCATGTCCGACCCAATCAGTGGCATGTCGCGCGGCTATGGTTTCGTGCGATTCGCCAGCGAGGAAGACCAGCAAAAGGCCCTTACGGAGATGCAAGGTGTCTACTGCGGCAACCGCCCCATGCGCATCTCTACCGCTACCCCAAAGAACAAGAGCGGGGGCCCTGGCGGTCCCGGCGGTATGGGTATGCCCCAGCAGGGTGGCGGTCCAGGCATGGGCATGTACTCGATGGGTGCGCCTCCCATGGGCTACTATGGTGCGCCCCAGCCGATGAACCAGTTCACCGACCCCAACAACACGACCGTCTTCGTCGGAGGCCTGTCCGGCTACGTGACCGAGGACGAGCTGCGTTCATTCTTCCAGGGCTTCGGAGAGATTACCTATGTCAAGATTCCTCCAGGCAAGGGATGCGGCTTCGTCCAGTTCGTGCAGCGTCACGCCGCGGAGATGGCCATCAATCAAATGCAAGGCTACCCGATCGGCAACTCTCGTGTCCGACTCTCTTGGGGCCGCTCCCAGAACAACTCGGGCCCTGCCGGCACTCCTTACCGCCCAGCACCACCTCCGCCAGTCTACGGCCCGGGCATGGGCATGCCCCCACAGCACCCATATGGCGGCGGTTTCCCTCCCATGAAGGCAAGTTGGTCAAGTGCGACCGCGTCTGAACCTTACTAACCTCCGGCTAGTAAGCACAGATTTCCCTCTCTATTGCTTGCACGGCGCTTCCTCCATGGTTTATCCCGTTGGCTTATTGCAATGACCCCTTTTCATGACTTGTCATAACGACTCTCGAGCGTTTGGTTCTCTTTCACGATACCTCTGGGTCGGTTTCCCCAAAAAGTTCTCGAGTATTCTTCTTACGATGTCATCTTACTGGGGGCCATCAGAAGTGGAGTCAGTCTTTGTACAACAGGTCATCATTCTCTTGCTTGCACCTGCGGAATCTTTCCTTAATGATAAAACGAGCCAGCGAGTTACTATACCACCACGTCTTCTTTTAGGAAGTATCCAAAGGATGTAATTAGTCATGCTATGGGGTTTCGGGTGCTTCTCGCGACTGCTCCCTGCTGCTTTCTGCTGTTCAGATGCTCTTTCTCTCACGAAATGTGCCATTACGAGCGGATTGGGCATCAGTTCCAATCACACGAGTCTTTTTATTTTGAGTCTTTCGTTTGCATCCTGGCTTGCTCTCCTCTTGACCTTCCTTTTGCTTTCCTGATCTTGAACCCAGTTCTACCATTGTGTCCATCCTCTTGCACTTTACATTTCTATGAATACTGGGGAATACCGCATCTTGGCTACCAAATGACTCTGCTAACATGTACGCTTCAGCTACCCTCAAGCCCCGGGTTCCTACATCGGTGGCGGCGCTCAGAATGGCGGCGGAATGTCGACCCTCCAGAGCCTCGGTCTCATGTCCTCGCAAGGCGCCAACGGCCCTCTCAGCCCAGGCCCTGATGGCAACGGTCCACGCGACAACGCCGGAGCTTTCTCCCAGCAGCTTCCACCCATGGCTTAGGTCTTCACTTGTTCCTTACTCACGTCCGCCTCATACGAACACGATCATGACTCGATACTGTTGGCTTTAGCGCGGCGTCACGGAAAATATAATCCAAGCATATGGCGTTTGGGATGCGCTTGTGTGTGTGTGTGTAATGTTAGGTACGTTTGGTGAAAAGCAGGCGAGAGCATTGAGACCCTATTTTACTTGTTGTAACTGGTCTTTGGTGGCGTGCATGTCCGTTGCTTTGGTTACGACGACGCGCTGGCATCAGCTGGCCACTATAATTATGTCTTTCTTTCTTAATTGTTGTGCGGCCATACTGGGAGGTTTCATCTGGTAGTACCTATGCATGGCGTAGTAACATGCTCGGAGGACGGTTCCCCTCAGCAAACTGCGTACAGCTTCATGTATGCCTATTTTATTTAGATTATACTGGTTACGGACAAGGAAATTGACCGCCTGTCAGGGTTTTCGTCGGTGGTCACACAGGTATTCAGTGCTAGAATGAAAGCATCATGTCGAACAATCTCAGCACGTGCTGTGAAGTCAGTGAGCACTGCCCCCGGGCGCTCCTCTGATACGTAAATAATTTCTGCGTTCGAGTAAAATGCGCTGATGTCTAAGCTTGATATGTTGACAAACTTGTTGGAGTGACGGGCTTATCCAAAGAAGGCGTCATTGCTCTTTCCTCGTAGGAGACCCTGCCGACATCGCCCAGAGCTCTCCTTCTTCCTCCTTGGATCCAAAAACACTCTTCCTCCTCTCCACTCCTCGCCGTTTGCCATAACTGCCAGTTGCTTGTTGCTCTTTTGGATCCTCACATTGCAATTGCGCTTCCAACTGAACCATGCGCTACGACGACTGGGACGTCATCCTCTTCCCCAGGGTCTCTCCCGTTCCCATACAAGAGTTCAAGACGGCTTGTTACATCTCAACTGATGAGGGTAAGTATCACCGTACTCTTTTCCCTAAACTCTACGCCAGAATCTATATACTGTCATCGTGCTGAGCTCATCTCTCTCTGTCTACTAGTTGGATGCCAACTACCTACCCTGACTTGCTACATCAGCTCTCTCCCACTGTCCACGCCCTTTCGCATCTCCATACACTCGTGGACTACGGCGGCAAAGCCTTCTGCTATCATCGAAGCCCAAAGAAAGCCGAACCAGAAGGTGGTATACACAGTTCAGGTCATTGTTGACGGTGCCAGAGTCTTGTGAGCTCAGATATCTACACTAGAAATACTGGATGGCTGCATGCTGACTGGCACAGCCGTGGCTTCTTCGACATTGCCTCCAAATGGCCACAAGAAATTGGTACATTTTGTTGCATTCAGCCTAGAATTAACTAACACTGGCCAAAGCACACGAGAAGCACTCCCTGGCCAGTGTCGAGCAGCCCACAAGTCAGAAGAGACCGCGCCTCGAATTCCCTCCTTTCAGTCTCCAGACACTCCAACAGACATCCTGGGATGCTCGCGATTTCAAATCACGCATCAAGATCATGCTGTCTGAGCAGTTGATTGGAAAGACAGCCAGCCCGGGAGAGTTGGATCTTGGCATTACCAACGACATCGTGTGTTTTTCGTTCCAGCATGCTCCCAGAGGTACTTTTATATATACCATGTATCGGCGACTTATATTGACTCATGATAGATGTCTTGGAGGAAGCAGGCATCGCATGGCCGATTCGCAACCCGCTCTACCTTCCAGGCGCATACGAGAGAATCAAACCACTGGGACAGATATCTTCATTATATCCCCGCGCTTCCAAGGTGCGAAAGCCAGCGCCAGATGTACACATCCAGTCGCCGCTATCCCATCGGTCGAATCCTTTGAATACCAGAAAATCAAATCCGGACCCACAGGGATGGCCGCGCACTCATTTAACTGCTATATCCCGTCTCCCGAAGCTTGCGAACACTACGATGGGTCATGGACGTAATCGAAACTGGGACGACTCATTTTCAGCACTTGGTGATGAGGGCGACGAAGTTAGCATGGGTACATGGTCAACGAAACGGACTGCCTCAAGTTCTGCTGGGGATGTTGCGATGCCTGAGTACATGTTGGCATCATCACACGCACTCAAGCCACATCCGTCGTGGACCAACGCTTCGCCAGTGTATGAGCAGAGCACAAATTCAACTAGATCGGGGCATCGGTCGAGGGAAAAGATCGACAAGTTACACCTTAGTGGTTGTCGAGATGACTTGGGCCAAACATTGCAGGCAATGAGTCCGGCCAAGAAGGATCGAGAGTCACGATACAATCTGGGTAGTCAGCACGGAGACCCCATGGCTCGTCCACCTACTGCTCACGCATATTATCCGCCGAAGATGGGTTATACTCCGCTCATGTCTCGACCGTCAACAGCGTCTATGGCTCGTACGTCTTCCTATCCTGACCTCAACTCCGCGTTTCGAAATGTCTCAAACAAGGGAATAAGAGCCAAGGCCGACGAGGTGGAGAATAACTTGAAGGGAAAGTCATTTGCATCATATCCTTCCTCTATCTCTAGCAATAAAGAGAACCGGCCTCCCTCTCAAATACGCATGCCGATCCAGGGCACATGGTCCAATCAGGTTCCAACACCTAACCCTTTTGTTCAACGACTACCAGTCTTTGACCCTGATCTTCCCACGAGAGAACCTATTTCTAGCTTCTCAACTCAGCCCCGATATAACTATATCAACACAATGCACCCGATGGATACTGGCAAATTTGTATCTGCCCATGGACCATCGGCGATAGGCAGCGTAAGGAGTAGGAAGGAAGGCATGGCTACACACTCACCTCAGCTCCCACAACAAGCTATCCGCCACGATCAAAGTCTGCTCCCACCCACCAGTGGCGCCCCTCCCTCTGCCCAACCATGCGCCTCCAAGGACCTAGGAAAGCACAGCCACAGCGCGCAAACCTGTATTCCCTCGGTCGTCGAGATCATCGACGTCGACGCCATCGATCCCCAATTGGAAGCCGACAGCGTGGTACCGGACACGACGAAGCTCTCGCCATTCAAACCCACGCACAAGCAAGGCATGTCAAGCATTGACAGCACGGGCCGTCTCGAACAACAGCTCTTCAGTGCGCTGGGAGAGGAACTCGCCAGCTTTGAAGAAAGCATCGATGCCAATGGCATGGGGCCAGAGCTTGCACGTGCCATTGGCGGCTCAACGACTCGAACCCAGTCTCAACCGGACTACGGGGCCAGTCAGACGCCGTTGGATCCCGAGGCGCATGCATTTGAGCCCGGTGGGGTGGGCAAGCGGAAGAGGAAGGGGACGCTGGGGGGTGATCGGGATCGCGATGCTGATCGTAGTCCGTTGAGTAAGAAGGAGAAGGCGGTGATGGGCAAGGACGAGGTGGGGGTCTTTTGAGAGGGGTGTGCTGTGGGCGTGGGCTGGGGGCTGGCATTGGGTATTTTCATGGTGATGGATGAATGAATGAATGAATGGGATGTGATGGGGTTTAGTATAGCGAGGAAGAGATGAATGGTGTTGGGCGTGGGTTGTAGGTTGCATGTTGTAGAGTCTTTTTCTTTTACTTTTTATTATGTATGGATGATGGATGATGAATGACAGCTGGGTGTCGGAGAGGGGTTTGATGGGTTCATGGAATAGGATAGAGGGACTAGATGAAGTATGGTTTATTGTCTGTCTGTCTGTCTGTCTGGTTGCTTATTTGTTTGTTTGCTTGCTCGAGTATGTTGCGAACACTAAATCATAGAGGCCATTGTAGTCGAATCTGGTCTACGCTCTACACAGTTTAAATGTGGAATAATGAATACTCTTCTACATACTCTTCTACATTGTATATCCGAGTTAAAAATTAGAACGCACAAATCACAGCAATATAATAAACAACACCCATTTCTCCCCTGTGTATTAAGCTTCAAACGCAAAAATTTAGGCGGTGATGGTTGGGTAGTTCATAGCTCTGTTGAGATGCTGAGATTGTATTGGATTGGGAAGGGGAGGGGAACAGGGGGGAACAGGGAAAACACCAACTTGGTTGCTAATTATACAGCTCACCTCTCTCTCGCATCTCGTACTCTTACTCTTACTCTCGCATCTCTGCTGCCCAACCCATCCCCACGCCAACAAGACACAAGAAAAAAACAACAAATACATACATACATGATCCAGACCGCACGAGAAAGAAAAGAAATAGAAGAGGCTTGGGCGGAAGAGTGGATAACGAAAGGACTAGGGAATGCGGGAGAGTATAAGAAAAAAGGGAAATAGTAGTTCATGCTAGTGGTATCTTTATTACATCCATCCATCCATCCATCCATCCTAGACCCATGTCCCCAGAGTATGGAGGCGTCAATGCGGATAAATATGACCCGGTTTGAGAAGCTGTGCTTTGCGCTTTGCCTTCTCGACTCAAGTGGGCATGTCTTTGTCTCTGCCTGTTCTCTCTCTCTTCGTCAAACATCCAGTCCTTCCCAACCCTTCACTTATACTGCGGCACCCCATTCTGCGGCGGCGCAGCCCCCACCCCTCCCATCATGACCCCCTGCTGCCCCTGCCCCTGTACCTGCGCGCCCTCCCCCATCTGCGCCAGCACATCAGGCCGATACTTGACATCCTGCCAAAAATTGCAGACCGGGCAGCCGACCTCGCGGTAGGGTTTAAGTGAAAAGGGGATAACGGGGATGAAGCAAAACGTGAACCATTCCCAGCGCTTCATGACGCGGGCAGAGTAGTTGCCGCAGTTTTGGCATTGCGTTGTGATGTGGCTGGCGTTGGGGAGGGGGGATGTGAAGGCTGTGGGTTTGTTAGTGGGAAGAAGGGGAGGGGAGAGGGATGGTGTGGACGGGGATGGAATGGTATGGACAAGGGAGGGTGGGAATGTGAGGGGAGCGTGCAAGACGTACTGTGTGTTCCGCAGGTGAAGAAGAAGAACATGGTCGCGCGGGTTGCACGCGTTTAGCGCGTCTATGATTTTTGTGGTGGGAGACGTGGGTATTGTATATGGAAGTGAGGGTGTCGGTGGCGCAGTAGGGCGCGTGGTGAGATGATGTGGTCGGTTGTGCGGGCGCAAACTGTCGCGGTTTGTGTGGAGCGGTTGTAGGACAATAGTGCGCAGGTCAACGGGTTCTGGGTATGGATGGGCTGTCGCGCGGTTTCTGTGTGCGATATGGAGGTTCAGGATTCGATTTGGCAGGACAAGGAGGTGAATGTGTTGTGAGTGAGACGGCAATGTTGCGGAAGGCGTTGCTGCGCATTGTAGTCGTGTGCAAGGGTTGGCGCCGAGGAAGCTGCGTCATGGAATCCTCAGCCACACTTGGCTCAAGCTTCGTGCGCTAGTGTTTGCGGGGGTCGTGCATCGATCAATATCGCCTGGGCAAGTTTATTCGTTGTACGGGTACATGCATGTGGCATGTTTGTGATTACTCTACCGTACATCCAGTCACTGGTCGTCTGAGTGGTTCGATTCAGTAGACAAGTGGAGGGTAATTACTTCATTGTGGTATCGAGCAGTCTTCGAGGCTGAAAATACGCAAAGAAGACTCATGACAGTCATTACGAACAAGGAACCTGGTCGCTTCTGAGGCGAATGCTACTGGACTCTGCATAATTCCAATCATCCTCGCCTTTCATAGTACACCACCTGAGTCCTATCGTGATGCTTGATATGAGACAAGACCAAAGCATGGACTCCCAGCAATGTTGATGGTGGAGATGGTCGACAGTTTCTTTTAGAGTCTTGAAAGATTTGGGTTGAACAGCGCACGCTACTGTGTCTTGAAGAGCAGGATAGCGCAGTGACCAAGATAGAAGTAGATGAAGTGCTTGGTCTCTGTAGTAGCGTTAGACCGCAACTCATACAGTGCCGTGACATGACCATACCGTGAGTGACGAAGCTGCCAAAGTTCCTGCCGACTATGCAGTGCCATGTGGCGCCCTTGCGGCTGTCAAACTGGGAGGAGGTTAGCGTGTGCATGAGGGTAAACAAAGTAAGATTTTGCTAACCTCCTTCTTGATGTACTGGGCAATGTCCTGAAAAGCGGTGTCAGTATTCACAGCAAGACTAGACGGGCGCTCTGCAAAAAGGTTCAGTGCACTCAGAACCTACCTTTTCAATGGTGAACTGCTCCATGGCTTGTTGCGCTAGAAGCTGTCAGTATCGCGGTCAGCCGTGTCTGGGTGAATGAGACCCACCGACTTCGATGGCTTCGGCCTGCATCTCATCGCTCTGGGGCACTAATTAGACTTGAAGATAGTCGCAGGGATCAATATGTAGTCACCATGTCCGCCGACTTGATCTGGGCTGCATGTGTGTTAGCTTGTGCGTAGACAAAGGTACCGGCGGGAATACATAGGAGAACATACCCTCCTGCTTGGAATCCGACTTTTCGCTGGCCATGGTGCTGGGCTACTGATCTTGCACGTGGTAGTTGGATGATTGTCGGTATTCCGGAGCCAATATTGGTCTTATAGAGAAGTGGTGTGAAGGCTGTGTGGTCGTGGTACGCCTTGCTCAGTTGCTTGAGTAGGCGCTCGGGCGGTCAAACGACCCACCGACGAGGTTGCTAGCGTGCACTAGCGCGACTGCACCAACGAAATTTCTTGACGCCCATCATCTAATCGAATTACTTTTACACTCTGCCAAAACATCCATCACCACTCTGATCCTCGAGATCAATTGTCGTGCCAATCCATCGCACGCTACGGTTTCCTGAGCAGGCCGCAGCTCTTATTCCTCATATACAGAATGGAATCCTCGCGCATATTTGTGCGCGGCCTACCCTCAAACTTCACAGAGGATGGCATGCGAAAGCATTTCGGCAGATATCCCATTACAGACGTCAAGTTCTTCCCCCACCGCCGGATAGGATATGTTGGCTACAAGACACCACAAGATGCGGCCCAGGCAGTCAAATACTTCGACAAGACCTTCATCAAGCTGACAAGGATATATGCGGAGATAGCACGTCCAGTAAGCAACTGATGCGTCATGGCAGCCACGAGATTTTTTGGCGCTGATTACCCCTTAGATCGCCGACAAGGAACTACCCAAATCCCGGCGACAGCAAAAGATGGAGGCTCTCACACCGAAAACGGACGAGTACGTACCCAAACGACAGGAGAACGAGCTCAAGCGCAAGCGGGCCGAAGTCGAGCAGGATCCGAAGCTGAAGGAATTCTTGGAGGTGTATCAACCTCCGTCCAAGACCAACATATGGACAAATGGCGATCTGCAACAGGCGCAGATGCCTCCCGCGGCAGACGACGTTGTACCCGAGGTTGCCGTCCCCGAAGATGAGAGCGACGACGAGTATCAGGTTATATCGAAGAAGCCCAAGGTCATGGAGCCATCTGTGCAAACACCAGCCGAACCAGAAACAACGTCTACAGTCGAGCAGGAGCCAGCAGTAGCGACCAGTAGTGTCGATGCCACTTCGGGTGATGTCATGGAAGTTGACCAAGATATCCCGGAAGCTGGACAAGGAGTAATGTCTGATGCAGACTGGCTGCGATCAAGGACCAACAGAGTTCTCGAACTGGTGGAAGATGACGAAGCGCCACCTGCCGCAAATGCAGTTCCTGCTGTGAAGGCACCACCAGTGGTGGAACAGATCACTCTCCAGCCTGCTCCACAAGATGCGCCAGAAGAATCAAAGGCAGAGGCACCAGCTGCCGAAGAACCAAATGTCGATGCGACTTCGGCAGAAGAAGACAGAATACGAGAGACTGGCCGCCTGTTCCTTCGCAATCTGCATTACGAAGTCACAGAAGATGAGTTGCGTGAGCAATTCGCAAAACATGGACCCCTCCAAGAAGTAAGTACATTGACTTTTATTTATACTTATAACGCCATGCAATGATGAACGTCAAGATAGGGACAACCGATGCTACGGCATATGAGGTTGACTTGTGAGAGTATTTTAGTAGATGTCTCTCTAATCTGATATTGGCAAGCACATGGAATTTGTACTTTTTAGACTTTGCAAGGCCAACCGCTGACTCCCAACAGGTCCATGTACCCTTGAACAAGGCCGATGGAAAAGGCAAGGGCTTTGCTTTCGTTCAGTTCCAAAATCACGATCATGCTGTGGAGGCATACCTGGATAATGACAACACCATCTTCCAAGGTCGGCTCCTTCACATCATATCCGCCAAAGCCAAGAGAGATACCGCTCTTGACGAATTTGAGATCTCAAAACTTCCACTTAAGAAACAAAAGGAGATTAGGCGCAAACAGGAAGCAGCCAAGACCACCTTCAACTGGAATTCTCTGTACATGAACGTATGTTGTAACATGCCAAGTGCAACCGATAATTATTGACCATGTATTAGGCCGACGCAGTCATGTCAACTGTAGCGTCCCGTATGGGTATCAGCAAGTCTGAATTATTGGACCCGACGTCATCGGATGCCGCAGTTAAGCAAGCTCATGCGGAAACGCACATCATCCAAGAAACGAAGACCTATTTCGCTCAGCAGGGCGTCGATCTCGAGGCCTTCCAACGGAGTGCCAAGGGTGATACTGCCATACTAGTCAAAAACATCCCACATGGTGTAACCTCCGATGAGCTGCGCAAGCTTTTCGAGGAGTATGGTACCGTGATCAGATTTTTGATGCCGCCAACAGGAATGAGTGCGATCATCGAGTATTCAAATGCTGCAGAAGCAAAGACTGCATTTGCATCGTTGTCATATCGGAGGTTGAAAAACTCCATCATCTATCTGGAAAAGGCTCCAAAAGATTTGTTCAAGGAGGGGGTGGTGCCCAACGTTCCACAGCCTGTATCTGTAGGGAAGGCGGGGACAAAGCTATCTGCAACTGACCTGCTGGAAGATGCGCCTGAACCCGAGACATCGGACACGGCCACCCTCTTCGTGCGTAACCTCAACTTCACGACCACGAGTGAAAGACTCACAGAGGCTTTCAAACCCTTGTCTGGTTTCCGTAGCGCCAAGGTCAAAACCAAAATCGACCCCAAACGCGGTGTACTATCCATGGGGTTCGGCTTTGTCGAGTTTACTAATGCTGAGACGGCAACCGCAGCTCTGCGGACTATGGATGGCCATGACCTCGAAGGTCATAAACTTCAGATCAAGGCTTCGCACAAGGGTGCGGATGCAGCTGAAGAGAGACGTCGCGAGGACGCGTTGAAGAAGGCAGCGAGCACCAAGATCCTTATCAAGAACTTGCCCTTCGAAGCGAGTGTATGTATCTCTGATTACCTTTCTGCAGCGCGTGCTAACCTAGGATGCAGAAAAAAGAGGTTCGCGCCTTGTTCACCCCTTACGGCCAACTTCGGTCCGTCAGGGTACCCAAGAAGTTTGATTCGTCGTCGCGTGGTTTTGGTTTCGCTGAGTTCACCACAAAACGCGACGCTCTCAATGCCATGAACGCTCTGAAGAACACCCATCTCCTAGGGCGTCGACTAGTACTCGCGTTCGCAGAGACGGAGTCAGACGACCCCGAGAAGGAGTTGGAGAAGATGCAACAAAAGGTTGGCGCACAGGCCAACAAAGTTGCCCTACAACGCCTCACAGCGGGTGGGCGCAAGAAGTTTAACGTTGCAGGCACTGAAGACGACCTAGATGATTAAGCAGCGCGAGCGCGAGCGTGTTCTGGTAGGAGTATACTTTTACAGCGAGCGCGACACCTCTCGGCTGTCTTGTCCCTACTCTCATCCCTTGCTTTCCAGACCAAAGGAAAAGAGGCCCGCCCTTAGGCCGCGGTATACTGAAAAGAGTAACGCTATGACACAATGGTACTTGAACGCCATATCTAGGTCACCGCTTTACGGCCCGCGACAGGACAACGCCTGGCGGGGTGAATCAATGGGCATGGCCACCACACAGCGTTTCATATTGCTCTTAAACATGGGGAGTAAGGCAGCCACAAACGAGACGTTTGTTGATCATACAGACTTGACTCACGTAGTTTGTTGTTCGCGATCACTGACATTCATTCTTGTTCAGCGCATTCCATGACGAGCCTCCCTCGCACACGTCCAATCAGATGACAATTGATCAGATGGCAGTAGCCTCGATGCCCTTGCTCCCTCTGCTAACCAGGCAATATTTACCATTCCAGTAGGCGAAAGGAATTGCGATGGAAGTAGTTACTTGGACGACAAGCGAAATAGCGATCTGTGGGCGAGAACGACGGCTGTAGGTCTAATTTCATGGTTATCACCATGTTACCCTGAAGCGTGGCCACACTCCTACTTTCAGTATAGTGGGAGTTGTATTGGACCTGCCTGGCGGTTTGCCTGGGAGCACGGTAAATCCTGCCTTTCCAACCTGTCACCAAGTAGTACTGCCAGAGGGCTGGTCATCTGCACCATATCATATATCATTGTAAATCGTCTGACATACCATCTGCCTCGCCACTTACCCGATACATTCTCTTCTCCCAATTTAACCACAATCCTTAGTCATTCATTGCTCCAACTGCCTGACATTCATTCATTCTGCTTCAGCCGTCATTCTTACCCTTATCATTCCTGCAGTCAGCCTGGACTGCATACCATAGCATAAACAGTCATGGAACTTCAACACCAACAGTCATGCGTGCTAGCCGCGGATGTTCCAGCTTCACATCATACACCAGATGAGGTCAGTTCATCACGGAACCGAAGTGCTCTACAGGAACGATCCGCCAACTGGCCTCACGAATACACAAATACATCTGATTCACCACGGCTCAAGATATCACGCAGCCCAAGCCCAACCGAAAACGTCTACGCAAGACAGTCTCTGGTGGGCGGAAACTATTTCACAGGCAATGTTCACGCGCAGCACAATGGACTGGTGGGCTTTGGAGTCGAGAGGCCCGAAAAGCAGATCAGATATGAACTCGAGAGACTATACAAGATGCTTCGTCGATCGGACAAGTATCAAAAATACAGGGAAAAGCAGCCTGTCTTGACACCCGCCGAGTTCATCGCGAGAGAAGCCGCAGAAGCCGCAGAGAAGAAGGCTGCAGAGCAACGGGGAGCTCCAAAGGATGAAAAAGAGAAGAGCGTCTGGCCCGAATTTCTCGAGCATGCGTTTTGGAGAGGTACGTTTGTTCTTGACCCTTCATCCTCACATCCTCATTCAGAGACTTGCTCACTAGGGCTGATACCTTGAGTGGCACTGTCGGCCTACCATTGATTGCTGTGACTGACAACACCACTGTAGCCTTGGTCAAATGGCCGCCCATGGGTCGTAAGAAGTATATGCTCGATAGCCAACTACGGGGCCGAAACGAACTCATCCAATACTCCATCTATAGAGATACAGGCATTAGACGCTGTCGGAAACAGGTTTCCAGCCATCTTCAGGTGTTGAAACAACATCTCAAGGATCAACCTGCTGGTAAGTACTGCTGTTACGCTGTTTTGTGTATTCAATCGTGCCTCGCCTTCCACCAACTTCCATGTTGGTTGCTTGTATTGGACGCCGTGAGCCCTGCCATGATCTATAAGGGCTATGCTAGGGAGTACCGGAGCCATGCTAACCGCACTCTAGTACTCGTATATATGGCCTTGAAGGAAGATGACAAGAAACGACATCGTGTGAATGATTCCTCCCACGCATATCATACGGCGCATCTGCGTGGTCGCCATCACCCGCAACGCACGGCCTCTGCAGCCAAATATGGATATGACACGGATAGCCCACACACATGGCCTCAATTTGGTGCATTGCCATCTAATCTGGAATTAGGTGCTGGAATTGGGGCCAAATCGTCTTCCTCGCCTTACGAAGTGACGGACTTCACAATGTTGGTCGAAGAAGATGATCAGCCAGTGCACTACTTCACCAGTCTTCAACCGAATGGCCGGTCCAGGGACTTGAACGTCAGGGACACGGTCTCCTGGCGAAGTCAGTACCCTGAGTTTGATTTCCTACAATCAGAAGTAAGCCACTGGTCACAGACAGATCGAAAGGTGTTGGTGTGCGACGCGTCCATCAAGATCATGACAGAAGCAATACCGAATGCTAACCTCTCAATTACCTTCAACTTGCAATCACAAGTTGACCTCTCCATGTTCGAGGCTCTCGAATGTACGACTCGCTTCTATGATAGCGGAGACATTGCGCCAGACCCCCAGTTCGACGGCGCGCATGCTCACGATCTCAAAGAACACCGCACACCATGCGACTACGCCCCCGATCCCCATGGTTCGTCTGGTCGCCTAAGAATTGCATTCGGTTCGCGATTCTGGGTGAATCGGATGCTCAAGTATCAGAGTCTCCGGCATAAAGATGAAAACTGCGTTAAGCGATCACTGCTGCGATTGACGGCTACACAAGACGTGTATGGTATCGAACGGGGTACCCACAAGGCCCAGTGTGTACTCACCATACTCTGGCGCTTTGAACAAACTCGCAGCACCGCCGAAGTAGGTAGCATGAAATGGCGCCCCGTCAGCTTCAATAACTGCCAGAACTCGCTGGACCAGAAATGGATCAAGGAAGACCACCATACAGCGCCTCGCTTGAATATCGCCGACACTACCACAGACTCCATGGACGGCCTTGTCTCCCTTCCGGTCGAAAACTCGCTCTACCACCCTTCGAGCCTCCCACTAGACCCCTACAGCACACATCACTTCGCCGTCCAGCCCTCGCACCACAACCAGAACCACAACCAACCCCAACTCTCCCTCGACATCCTCGCCTCCATGCAACAACCAGACCTGGAGCACCACTCGGCGTCCGCACCCAATACCGCTACCGGCACAGACTACTCCCAGGGCAGTCTACCCAGCAGTCTCTGCCACAGCCAAGATGCCATTGCAAGTTCAAGCTATCCGCACGACGCCAACGACTTTGATTTCAACGGCGGTCACATTACCATCTCCGGCGCATTTGAACCAAGTATCAATCTCGGAGCTTACGACGCGTTTGGCACAAACGCAGAATTGGATGGCCTGCACGCTCTTGCGGGCCTCGAACACGACCACGACAGTTTTGCGGGGCTGGGGCTCGCGGTTGGCGAGAATGGAGAGCTGATCTCTGTACCGAGGGACGATGGATTGGGCGTGGGTGTTGGTGTGGGAGGAGGCGTAGTCGGCATAGAGAGCTGCTACTCTACCAAGCCGAATTGGCACCATTCGAATCTGATTTCGTCGCTGGAGAATGCGGCGGAGAGTTATCATCAGGCTTCCTATCACTCTGGTCATGGCCACAACCACTCGCATAACCACAACCACAACCACCTCGAAGCAACCCCCGGCCACGAGCTCCTCCGCAACACCAACGTAGCCGCACCCGTACCCGTGCATTCTTCGTACCCGGCCGTCCACGCCACCGAAGACCTCGTCGCGCATGGCCTTCACGACGCCCATGTCAATGTCCATTCTGGGCTATGGAACCTGGCTAGCCCGTTCCATGAGGATACGGGTAGTGGGGCTGTGGGAGGGGTCATGGGGGGTGCCGAGGGGGGAAAAGGGAGCGGGCTGGGTATGGGGGTGTTGGAGCTGATTGAGAGGGAGCAGGGGAGGGGTTATTGAGTTGGTGGGTGAGGGAAGGTCTTTGGAGGGGAGGGAGAAGCATGGGCGGAGGAGCGTTGGGTGGGAGTGGGAGTGGGATATTTGGTAATGTGCAGCCCTCGTTCACGCCGCGATAATGAAGTTATGATTACATGGTTTGGGAATGGACGACAGCTTTCACGCTCCTGTCATTCCTCTAATGAAGATTTACCCTGCTATTGGATTAGATCTATAGTTTTAGTTGGGGATAATGGTATGGGGACTTATGTTTTTATGGGACTAGGATAGGTTAGGATAGGATAGAGAGGTGTAGCATGTTGAGAGGTTAATTTCTTGATAATGGGAATTGTTTGATAGAATTAGATGTTTCACTCACTATTGGGATTTTTCACATTGGCTCGTGGTTGCAGTGTAAGTGCTTTCATGTGAAAGTAGGAAAAGATGGTGCTTGAGTCAGGCTGGTGGATTCCCGTACGGTAGTGCTAGACGGAGTATTTCAAGTCTTTACTGGGCTGGAGACTGCGGATATGTACACTTGAGCTTGGAGATGGGGTGAAGAGGATGCCGGGTCTTAGTAAGAAGTAAGCAGAGGAGACATGTATGCTTACTACAATAGTCTAGACGTGTCATGTGTGAGATACTGGGATGATGGGGAAGGGTTCGGCAGCACTTGGGGGATACTATTTCCAGCGTTGGGACCATGCTAGGACACACAATCATAGTTTTATTCGCGGTCTTTTTGGAGTCAATGTGCATGTGATTTACTGTTGGTGTGAGAGAGGAAGGGGGTGGGAATGGAGTAAGAGTGTACATATCAGCGGTGAACTCATCAAGGGCATGTCTGGGTGGGTGGTGTATGTATTCGGTCGATTCACAGTACCCGCATTGTAAATGATTGATATATGTGATCGATGAAATCACAGCAACCGCATTCTAGATGATTGATATATCTGTTGACGTGAAAAGGCAAGTATTCGGGCATTGCAGTGTTCCTCTGCCTAAACTCGGCTGATGGAATTGCAAGCACTGGGCCTATTTGAAGGGGAGGCTACGAGGGCGCAGTTCATATAACCATAGAATTAGCGCTGCGTGAACTTGTATTTAGCATGGGGTTAGGCTGTGCCAAGCTTTACTAGCTAGCTAAGCGAGGTTAACTAAATATTATACTATAAGATTTTGTAATACATTCTAAACCTATTCTAAATATATTCTATACTAGTAATACTATAAGCTACTACTACTATACCTATTACTAATATATCCCTTATATCCTATATAAGTAGATTAAAATATATTTAGAATATATTCTTAATAGGTTATAGAAGCACTATTAATAGTACCTTGCCCTTAGCTATATCCTAGATAATATTAGGGTATAGCCTATAGTTAGCCCTAATAAGGTAGTTAAGATAGAGAGTAGAGAGCGCTACTACTATACTAAGATTAATAATAAGGGCACCTTATATAGAGTAAGAATAGGTTCTAAACGTATTCTAAATAGGTTCTAATATTCTTAGGCTATTCTAGGTACTAGGGGCACTCTATATACCTATACTAAAAAAGATTATAGGCTTAATATAGCCTACTATAAGGTTAGTAGGGTTAAGAAGACTAGCTAGCCCTCTATAATAGAGGTCTATAAAGTAAAGAGTAAATATATTATTAACCTATTCTTAACTTATTATACTAATATATATAGACTTCTATATAAAGGTTATATATAATTACTAGAATACTCCTTACTATAAGTTATTTAGAATATATTTAAAACTTATTACTAATATATTTTATAGAAGTTCTCTAAGCCTAGCTAGCAGCTACTATAGGCCCCCTAGTAAATACTAATACCCTCTTAAATATAATTTAGAAGAAGACTTATACTAGCTATAATAGTAATAAGGTATAGCCTATAAGAACCTATTAAAAATATATTACTAACTTATTATAGCTTAACTTTATTACTATATCTACCCTACTAAGGATTTAAGGTTATTAGGTTCCTTATACTATTTACGCTTATAATTATCCTAGTTATAGTAAGTTATTTATAATATATTATTAACCTATTCCTAATATATTTTAAGACTATTACTTTAATACTAGTATAGACCTTGCTAATTCCTGCTAGAATACTGCCTAGTTCTACTTGCAGTATGCTTTTATAGAGCCTAGGGAGGATAGGGAGGATAGAGAAGATACTAGAGAGGGGGAGGGAGATAATAATAGTAATAAGTAGGAACACGTTAAGAATATATTAAGAATAGGTTCTAATAAATAATATATAATAGTATATAACCTAAAGGGGTAGTAGTAATTACTAAAATAAACTCTCTACTCTTCTCTTTTTTTTTCTATCTACTAAAAGTAAAGTACTATTTACTTTTATAGGGTCCTTTAATAGTATATAACTTTTTCTTTTAACTTTTATAGGTATTATAAAGCTCTAGTAGTCCCTTAGATTAAAGAAGAATCTAGTATTTATAGGTGTCTAGCTATAACGTATTATTAATATATTCTAAATATATTTTAAGAGACTAGACTTATATCTCCTTTTTACTACTTTTACTAAATATTATTTATAGTGTAAAGGGGAGCAACTATTTACTCCTCTTCTTTACTCTCTACTTCCTCTTTAGCCTCTACTCTAGCTACTACTTCTTATTATAGACTAGCTATCTTAGAGGGTTCTTAAACCTTAGAGAAGGCACTTAGTATAGTCTACTCTACTAGCAGAGAATGTATTATTAATATATTTAGAACACGTTCTTAAGTATTTACTATTAAGCTCCTATAGAAGATCCTTGCTTCTGCAATACCTTGTATTATAGTTCTACTATAGTTTACTAGGGCTATTTAAACCTTAGGATAATACCTCTTAAGGTAGTAGATAAGATTACCTCTATTAGAGAAGTAACACTAAAATAGTTATTAATATATTATAAATATATTCTAACTTATATATATATATACTTTATAAAGTTCCTATACCCCTAATCTAGCCTAAATAGCCTAGTAGAAAAGCTTACTAGGAAATACTATACACCTATTATTTAGGTAGGATATTATAGGAGAGAATGCCCTAGTATTAGATAGAAGTAACTTAAGCTTAATATATCGCTAGTATAAATCCTACTTAGTATTAGAACAAGTTTATAATATATTCCTAACGCGTTCTATTATATACTAACTTTAAAAGATCTTTATAGACTATATTAACTAGTTATATCTAATAATATTAGAAAAGATAGATAGTAAAATAGTATTAAACTCTTAAATATAAAAAGTTCTTATAGAGTGTAAGAAGAAAGAAGAAGAAAGAGAAGAAGAAAGAATATATATTTATCTACTTATATATACTTATATAATAGACTAGAATATATTAAGAACTAGTTAGGAACTAGTTACTATATTTATAGACTAACCCTACCTTATATAAAAAGTAGCTATCTCTTTCTTAAGTTTAAACTATGCCTTTTATAATTTAAATAGTGCCTTTTTCTATATAAGTTCTTCCTTATCTACCTCTAGCTTTTCTTTTCTCTCCTTTAGAGCCTAATTACTAAGAAGAGCCTTTTATTATAAAGTTTATAATTATAGACTAATAATAAGTTAGGAATATATTATAAACTTGTTTTGCAAAGTATACCTTTAGGTTACTATTAGTAGAGGAGAAGAGCCTAGTAGTAGAGAAGATAGAAAAGGGGCTAGTAAACTTCTTTCTAATACTACTCTACTACTTGCCCTCTAGCTTTAGGCTTTTAAGTATACTCTTTTATTTCTTATTAGGACTAAAATATATCTAGTTAAGTTAGATATAGTAAGACTTGCTTTATTATTATCTAGAGTGTTATTATTATTATAGGATATATTCTAAATATATTCTAAACATGTTTTAATTAGTAAATATATATAACACTAGCGTAAGACTTACTTTCTCCCCTCTAAAGCTTTTTAAGGTACCTTTACTTAAGCCTATTAGGAGTTCTATAGTTATAGTATATTCTAAACTTACTCTAGGCTTTAAACTCTTTTATATCCTATAGATCTATCTAGTGTGCACTATATAATATTACTTATATAATTCTAATAGGTTAAGAATAGGTTATAAACTTACTTCTAAGTAGCCTTAAGAATACTTATATACTTACTAGTTTTATATCCTTTCTAGCCTGCTTACTTAGCTATATTTAAATAAGATTCTAGTTTTTCCTATACCTCTTTTAATATTTTACTATAGTATTGCACAATCCTAGTAATAATTACTAGGTTTTTCTTATAGATTACCTAGTTTTAGGTATCTTTAGAGGGTTTATATTCTAATTATATAAGAATAAGTTAGGAATATATTTAGAATAGGTTTAGAATATATTTACTTACGTAAGAGGAGGTTAGTAAGCTAAAAGTATTCCTCTGCTATTAATACCTGTAGTAATTCACTTAGATATAAAGAGGTAGTATTATCTAGCTCTCTTTTATATACTTTATAAATACTTCTTTATAGATATACTTAACAAAATCTTATACAAGATTAAAGTTACTAGCGCTAGTTACGCTTATAGGGATTAATTAACTAGAGATAGCGCCTAAGTCCTAGAAACAAGTTAGAAACACGTTATAAATAGGTTATAGTGCGCTATAAAACTTGCCTATTATCTACTTATTATATATATTAATAGTAGTCCTATAGAATCCCTATAAGTAAATATACCTCTATAATACTTGTCTTTTTATAAGTGCTTTATACTTCTAAAAGAAGTTAGTAATAGTAACTTAATATATCTTAGTTGTGTCCTTATCTATAATAATTTAGCTAAGTATAATAACTATAATATATTAGAAATATATTATAAACCTATTCTTAATACGTACGCTTCTTTTCCTGCAGGTAGAAGATTACTATTAGAATCTCTACCTATGCCCTATATAACCTCTTATATAATATATCTATCTAGAATATATCTTAATCTAATAGAATTAATACCTACTCTTTAAAAAGGTAAATAATTAAGTTACCTAAGCTTAATATAAAGATTTACTATATATACGCCTGTAGTAACGTGTTAGTAATATATTCTAAACCTGTTCTCTTACACTATATATAGTTTTAGGATCCTAATACTTTATCCTCTACTTATAGTATACTCCTCTAAGGCTACTCTTAAATAGGAACTATAGAAGCTTTTCACGCTTTATAATACGTAAGATTTTATCTTTATTTATAAAGCTAATATATATTTCTTTAATAGAATAGAAACCTTTAAGTTAGAGATAGGTTTAGAGCTAGGTTAAGTTTAGGAACTAGGCTATAACAAGTTAGGAATATATTTATAATAGGTTATAAATAACTTATATTACGTAAGCTATAGAGTAAGTATAGGCTATAACACCTTTACTACTTCCTTAATATTACTATTAGATAGTATTAAGGGAGGAGGAGGTATATATATATATATACTAAAAGAAATAATAGTAAAAAAAGGTATTACTACTATATCTATTAGTATAATTACTTAGAAGGTAACTTTATATAGGATTTTAAATAGAGATCCTTGCCCTTATAGATAATTAACGCCTAGAATATATTAGGAATATATTAGGAATAGGTTGTAATATACCTACCACACTTCTTTATCTAGCTTAACTATAGCTTAACCACAGAATATAAAGCAGGACTACTAGAAAGATTTAATATCTCCCTAGTTAGAAGACCTTATAGATATATAGAGTCTACCTCTAGTAGTACCTAACTAAAATAATATTTTTTCCTAGTAGCAGATATTAGGCTATAGTTCTAATAGCTAATATATAGTTAAGCCTATTCTATAATTTACTAACTTATTATTAATATATTTTAAATATATTTAAGTTTTACTCCCTACCTAATTTACTATAGTCCTTATTATAGGATAATAAGACACCTAGTAGTCCTTATAAATCCTTAAAGAGAAGCGCTTAATAAGGCTATAATAATAGCTTCTTATTTATAGTTCTCTTTATAGAATTTTCTTAGGTACTATACTTTTTAAGGTTTAGATCTAATTATATAATATATTATTAATAATATAATAAGAATATATTTATAATATATTCTTAAGATACTTATACGCTTTTACCCTAGAGTATTAGTATTTATACTAGCTTGCTAGCTAGCTATTAAAAAATAGTAAAGTTATAGGCCTATTAAGATAGATAGACTAGTAGGAGTATTATACCTACTAGAATTAGAATAATTTAAGAACATGTTCTTAACGTGTTACCTATATAGCCTATATAAGCACCTCTTCTCTTATTAGGTAAGAGCTATCTTTATATTACTAAACTAGTATTATATACCTATACCCTTAGCTATATAATTAAGGGTATGCTAGGAGAATAGCTATATACTTAATAATTACTAGTATAAGTAGTAGTCCTTAACTATTACTACAAGTAAGGTATATATTATACCCCTATAACGTGTTACTAACCTATTCTAAACTTATTCTATTTACTTTTACTTACTTCCTTAATACTACTACTACTATCCTCCTCTAGCACTTTATATAGTTACCTAAATTTATCTCTAATATTACTATCTAGTTTAGATATATTATCTAGTACTACTATACTAAACTCTAGTATAGTATTTAGGAACGCCTATATATTATTAAGAATAGGTTTAAAATATATTTAAAAAAGATAGTAATAAAAACTACGTTTACTTGCTTAAATTACCCTAATTTATACTTAACTATAGGCTAGTTTATATAACTATAAAAATTTGCCGCTGTAACGTGGACTTGAACCTACAGGGATATTCTAACCACTCGGAGTAAAGCCCAAGTCGCCCGACGCTAAACCCATGGTCATATGACATGCCACCACGGAGGCTACGATCTGTAGGTCTCGGTGTGATGCCGGTGGTAACTCGCCGTCTTACCGTCTTGTTGAGTGCGGAGGGGTGAGGATGGCGAGTTGTTTGTTCGGGTACCGTCCGTCGACGGAGTGGCTGCTGTGATGAGGCGAGCATCTTTCTCTTGATTTGTGGTGTCTCGGCCAGTGGTGGTCGGGCATGAGCATGTCGAGATGAAATGCAATAGGATGGAAGCTTAACGTGAATTATAATGCTGACTGGTGTTTTGCTTATCAGTCCATCATCTGTCTTATCGCCGGGCCACCCCCCGCAGAAATCACTTGTGCCCGAAACGGCCAAAGGTGAGAAGCGGTCTGTCTCCTAGAGCATGGCGGCGTCGGGTAGTGCTTTCGGTGTAGCTACTAGAATATCGCGTTCGCCAGTTCAGTTGAGCAAGCAGCAGTCATCGTATCTATTGGGGGTGTTTTGACGCTTTCTCCGCAATGCAGTTGTGCCCAAAGGAGGTGTGTGTTTGTGTGTCTGTGATCTGTGCTTGTTCCCCTTCGCGTGGTAGTGTGCCCCGCTTCCTGCTAACTCGTGATTGCCGAACAGCTCGATAAGCTTGTCATCTCGCAGCTTGGCCTGCTTGCACAACGCCGACTGGCAAGGGGCGTCAAGTTGAACCACTCTGAAGCCACTGTGAGTACGGAAAAAAAAAGAGGAGAAAAAAAGAGCACGTGTGTGTGTGCTTGGAAGAGCATTCCATTAATCAAAGCCAGGCGTTGATTGCGAATAATCTCCAAGAGGTAGGTCAACACAACCTTCATACGCACACACACGCACAACACTGACAACGCGTGCCCAGCTGATTCGAGATGGAAACCATTCCGTTGCGGACCTCATGTCCATTGGCACGACCATGTTGGGTCGCCGCCATGTCCAACCCGAAGTCGTTGCTTCCCTCTCTGCCTTGATGGTCGAGGGCACATTTCCAACCGGCACCTATCTGGTCACCGTCCACCATCCCATCGCCTCGGACGATGGCGACCTTGCTAGAGCCCTATACGGCTCGTTCCTGCCTATTCCCTCGCAGGACATGTTCCCCCTGCCCGACGCAAGCGTGTACGAGTTTACGAAGCAGCCTGGCGCAGTCGTTGCGGTCAAGGGCGAGGCGGGCATCATCAAGCTCAACGAGGGACGTCAGAGGATTAGGCTCAAGGTCAAGAGCATGGGAGACCGCCCTATACAGGTTTGTTATGAGATTGTAATTTCGAGGGCCAGACGCTGATCATGTACTTGCAGGTGGGCTCCCACTACCATTTCATCGAGACAAATCCTCAGCTCCAATTCGATCGCGTACGGGCTCATGGCTACCGGCTGGATATTCCTGCCGGGACCTCTGTGCGATTCGAGCCAGGCGATACTAGGACCGTGACGCTGGTCAAAATCGCGGGCAATCAAGTTATCAAGGGAGGCAACAGGATCGCGACTGGCAACATCCAAGACCTGTCGGTCGCGTCAAATATCATGGAGAAGCTCAAGGTGGGGGGCTTTCTACACGAGCCGGAGCCTGCTGGCGATGCGGCACACATCGACATTTGTACCATGGAGCGCAATACGTACATAAGCATGTTTGGACCCACCACTGGTGATAGGGTCAGGCTGGGTGCTACCGACCTATGGATCAAGGTGGAAAAGGACATGACCAAGTATGGCGACGAATGTGCTTTTGGTGGCGGCAAAACTATGCGAGAAGGCATGGGCCAGGCTGGGGGCCGCTCAGACAAGGACGTTCTGGACACGGTCATTACAAACGCACTCATTGTCGACTGGACTGGCATTTTCAAAGCCGACATTGGTATCAAAAACGGCATCATCGTTGGTATAGGCAAAGCGGGCAACCCAGATGTCATGGATGGCGTTGATCCCAATCTCGTCGTCGGATCATGTACCGATGTCATTGCAGGAGAACACAAGATTGTAACGGCAGGAGGCTTCGACACGCATATCCATTTCATTTGCCCGCAGCAGGCTCAGGAAGCTATCGCCTCTGGAATTACATCCATGCTTGGCGGTGGCACAGGACCAAGGTATGTGTTTGTGAACATGACTACCTACGCATACTAATCATCACAGCACTGGTACCAATGCGACCACGTGTACTCCCGGCGCTACCCACATCAAACAGATGCTTCAGGCCATCGATGCGCTGCCATTAAATTTTGGCATTACTGGAAAGGGCAATGACTCGGACATGGAGCCCCTCCGAGAACAAGCAGAGGCTGGGGTGTGCGGTCTGAAACTGCACGAAGACTGGGGAAGTACACCGGCAGCCATCGACGCATGCTTGACAGTTTGCGACGAGTACGACATCCAGACGCTCATTCATACTGACACTCTAAACGAATCTGGCTTCGTTGAACAGACAATTGATGCAATCAATGGCCGTGCGATTCATACCTATCACACCGAAGGCGCAGGTGGAGGTCACGCTCCAGACATTATCAGTGTTGTCGAGCACGACTACGTTTTGCCGTCATCCACCAATCCCACTAGGCCGTACACTCGCAACACACTGGACGAGCACCTGGACATGCTGATGGTGTGCCACCATCTTTCCCGCAACATTCCCGAAGACGTTGCCTTTGCCGAGTCACGTATCCGCGGCGAGACGATTGCGGCAGAAGATGTGCTTCATGATCTGGGTGCCATCTCGATGATGTCATCGGATTCACAAGCCATGGGCCGCTGTGGCGAGGTCATTCTACGTACGTGGAATACGGCCCACAAGAACAAGGTGCAGCGTGGTACGTTGAAAGAAGACGAGGGTACGGAGGCCGACAACTTCCGGGTGAAGCGATATATCAGCAAGTATACCATCAACCCGGCGATTGCACAGGGTGTGAGCCACCTGATTGGTAGTGTCGAAGTAGGCAAAGTGGCCGATTTAGTCCTCTGGACGCCGCGAAACTTTGGCACCAAGCCGTCACTGATTGTGAAGAATGGGTGGTGCGCATGGGCACAAATGGTGCGTCTATTCCCTCTCCTCCAGCCTCTTGTTTCCCGTTGATGATGCCCGCGAGGACACGAGATGCTAACAGAAGGTCGATGGTCAGGGTGATGCCAACGCGTCCATTCCAACGGTGGAACCGATTATTATGCGGCCCATGTTTGCCCCCTTGGTGCCCTCGTCCGGCATCACGTTTGTATCGCAGGCGTCGATTTCCTCTGGCACGATTGGCTCGTACGGGCTGAAGAAGCGGGTGGAGGCGGTGAGGGATTGCAGAAAGGTGGGCAAGCGCGACATGAAGTTCAACGATGCGATGCCCAGGATGCAAGTGGATCCGGAGAGGTATACGGTCAAGGCGGATGGGGTGGTGTGTGCGGCCGAGCCTGCGGAGAGTCTGCCGTTGACGCAGGGGTATTTTGTGTTTTAGGGAACTTGGGTGGAGGTGTGGATGGGGGATGGGGGATGGGCGATGGGCGATGGGCGATGGGCGATGTTTGCGAGGGTTCTTTTGTGTTTTTTGCGTGTGGATTGAGAGGGGTTGGGCATTGTCTGTGCCTTGTAGTGCGCATTACTCGGCGGTACTTTATTTTCTGGAGCCTGTTTGGAGGCATCAGAGATGGATCCTTGCCTCTTTTGCAAGTCTGTTTCTTCCTTTGGAAACGTGAATCTAGGCGTGATGAAGAAGAGAGTGGGGGGATGGAAAGGGTGGGAGAGGCAGAAGAGAAGAAAGAGGGTTGTGAAGGAAGCTTTGAAATCCGTTCTTCTTCAACAGTCCACACCGTCCCATGACGATGTGAGAGGGGGAGAGATGGCCAGCATCAAGGGTGCAAACGGGCAAGATGGGTTACTTTGACCAAGCAGCCTCCCCTACCGGTCCAGCTCCCGCCCGTACCTACACCTCGAGCGTTGCGGGCGGGAAATGGGCTGCGTGCTGGGCGCACGGGGGGGTTAGCGGGACGGGGGGGCAGGGGGACTGGGGATGGGAGGATTTGCACTGGATTGGTGGTGCTGTTGGGTGTGTTGTGCAGAGGGGGTGTTTGCGAGATTGGGTGGGGGAAAGAATGGTTTAGAGAGGGGGGAGCGTCAATTGTTTGGGAGACGGGGGGGAATGGGCGAGTGGGTGGTGTGAGTGGGCAGCGGTGTGGGCTTAGATGCCAGGTGGGCATGGCACTTAATCGCCGGGGACAAAGCAGAAAACACAGTAAGAGGGAAAATTTCGTTTGCTTTTACCCCGTAAGTATCATGCATGGGGCTGGTTGGGCGCTGATGCTTTGTTTACTAGGCGATACAAGTCCACGAGATTGATTGAAAAGTTTAATAACCGGCTTGTTTAGTTTTCC